AAAGAATATGTGATAATACTGATCGTGCCTATAATTCCTCGTAAATAAACAAGGAAATTCCACAAAAAAATCTCCTCTTATTTTTGTCACTATTTGCAATGTATTCTTTTATTATTATTACCACTAAAAATGTATGTTACAAATTACTTTCAAACTTTACTACTGACTACATTTTTTCAAATTTACTTGTAACTAGGATCTAGTATCATTTATTGAATTCAATATCTGATTATAATATGTTCAATGAACCTGATCTACTCAGTCGCTCATATTCATAGATAGAGATTATTTCAGTACCTTAATTCCTTCTCTTTCTTATTGAGATCCCAGCAGCTCTACTTTCATCATAGTCCTGAAAATTACGAATGTAGGTATTTCATTTCGACTCACCATTCACACTTCGTGACATTCCAATCCCACGTCACGTAATATTAAAGACATCCAAACATTGTATTTGCCACAATCCAATTCCACGCTTTTTATGCATTGTAACATGGTTCTACAATTTAAAAAAAAGTTGGTATGCGTTTGTTGCACTTATATTGACACGCTTACAGGAAGAAAACGCGCGACACACGGCTTGCCGACACCAACTGTAGCGCGTAGGACGAGCGCGAGCGTGCGCCCGCCGCGCCCGCCGGTGACGACGCTTGACCTTATTTAATTAGTTCGTTCGTTTTTACTCTTTGAATGTAATACGGCATATTAAAATGTGTGTACTCTAATTTACTGTTGGCAACAGCTCCATTACTGGAACCCGCTCGAGCTACTCTTCCAACTCAATAATATTTACGCACATACTGTTTCAACACTTGAACTATGAGGAAAATATTTCGAAAAGAAAGCACATAGGTAAACTTCAGTGTTTTTGTTATGTATAGAAACATAAACCTTGTAGGTGATGCAAACACGATCACTCGAGCTATTTCGGTGTACAGTTCAACCACCTCGACCATCGTCGTCGATTTCTGCAACCGGGATTGTAAATCTTCCTCCCGTACAACTATGTGGGTATGGCATGCCTCGCATTCCCGCCTACACAAAGAGCTGAACTAAACTTAATTTTAATTGATTTTAGCTACCTTCTTTTGTATATGATCATAATCTTCTCTTATGTAAGTACACATTTTAAAAACAGACAGCAGAAATAGTTATACTTAAGTCGAGAACCCGTGCTCTATAATAATCGCACGTGCTGGCGGCACCAGCAGACCTTATTATTTTCTATTGAGTCTACTGAAAGTTGCACGGTGGCACGTTTGAAAGTAGGATGTCGAAATATTAAGACGCGCTTTTAACTTTAACATTGTTAAATTATTCAAACAAAGGAAATCTTGCACTTTATGCTCGTAGGTAGAGTCCCTCCTCTCTAAGCAACCAAACAATTTAGCGCTATTTTCATGAAATAATTTCCGCCAACAACACTGCCCTTACTACCTACACAAGTATGCCAAAGCTTGTGGAGTTGCGGTTTTGCTCATTTAGGATTAAGTCGGAAACTAGTGGATCAATATAATGTTACACTATAAATTGTATGCTGTTATTAGATTAGTCGCCTTCTATTAATGGCGTCACATTTGGTAGTTAAGGTGTGTTTGAGATATCGAATTACGTTTCCACGTTATAATAGTTTTCCTACATAAGAAGCCTGCCACATAATTTACAGTTGTATGTGCAAAAGTGTAAATAAATAAATAAAAATAATTTACGTATTCTTTCTCTATAAAAATTTTCAAGCTCTATCTACGCTAAACTCTGCTTACCCCATTATTTGACTGAGAACGGATATGATATCAAATTGGGGTGTTTTATGCAACTATTGAATTTAGTAAACTCTGTCTTACGCCAGCTTTTGACTAGTATAGGATTCAACGATTAGGTATTTACTATTATTTTAAGTATCATCTATTAAGAGTCCAATAAACTATATTATACTATCTATCTCAACGGGAGATCACACATTGTATTTGTAGAAACTGCCTGCCTGCCCTCAATGTGAACTGTGACAACGTGTAACTAACTTCGCGGGGGCGCTACCACTTTGGACACTAAAAAACGATGGATCCAACTTGGAGAGACCAAAAAACGTTACCCCCAGTGACTGTCATCAACAATTTAGTATCCACGAACAATGACTCGTGTGAAACGGAATATTTCTACTGCCTATTGTTTTTTGTTTAGCCATTTTAATCATCTAAATCCATAAAAAGCAAGCAATCCTAGAGAAATACTGCCATTTTCTCATAAATATGTAATTTCGCGGTCCCTTTTAATTACACTTGGAAGGGAGGAATCTAATGAGCCGTTTTTCCTTAGAGATGGGTAGTTTCTTTCGCTTTTCTACAAACTTAACCTAATTAGACTTCACCATTCTACGATTGCCTCCCTCTTGTGCATTTAGTCTTGCAATTAGCTGCATCTGTATCTAAATAAGAGTCATTAGTGTTCACTAACAAGACAAATGAAATTGTGTTTTATAATACAAACTAGCTTTGGTCGCCCGCTACGCGGGCTACAAAAGCTAGATCTGCGATGCTGGCCGCTCCGGGCTTCGCCCTACGCGGCGCTCGGCCTGCGGCCTCGCATTCGGAGCTCGGCCTTCGGCCTCGCAAAAATTACAGGGGGTGTTAACTGTCTGTCACTGTGCTCTTGTGCTTTTTTGACGCAACACAAGTAAATCTATGGCGACTGTCGGGATTTGAACCATCGCTCGGCCTTCGGCCTCGCCTTCTGTCTGTCACTGGGCTCTAGTCCTTTTTTGACGCATTAAAAATAAATCTATGGCGACTTACAGGCTTTAAACTATCGCTCGGCCTTCGGCCTCGCCTTTTTCTACGTTAGCTAAGCCCCCCTGCATACAATTTGTATGAAGAATTTAGTCCCTTTAGGAAAACGGGTGAACGCTTGGCGGCCATCTTGGATTTCCAAAATTTTGCATTTTTCCCTTAATCTGGACCATTTTCCGCGCCGAACCCCATTTTTACTTTTTTTCTATCCTCACCCAATCCCGTAAAACAATTCCTTAAAATCACCCTTGTCCCAAAACTTTGAGTTCCCCTAACTCCCAGTGTTGCCAGGTTATCGAGCTAAAAATGGTCAAATGTCATTAGTTTGACCTATTTGCAGGAGGTGTCATCCAAATTTCTGACCGAAAGTCGTTATTTCCATTTTTTACATTTTTGGACTTTTGGTCCAAAAATGTAAAAAATGGAAACACTGGTCTCAAAGTATGGCAACACTGAAAATTTTAGTTTTCCCGAACGATACTCCTTGACAAACTATACAATCGCCACAAACAACTCGACTTTCCCAAATGTTGCCAACTACCCGAAAAATGCATTTGAAAAATCAGAAATCTGAAACTTTTTACAAAATGGCCGCCCGCTCAGCCGCCATCTTGATTTTCCATGATTTTGGATTTTTCCCATAGTCTGGGTCGTATAACCGACCAAACCCCATTTTCAGATATTCCCTGCCATATCTCCTTCTGTCCGTCCTTAACTTTAAAGACACCCATGTCGAAAAAAATACTTTTCCCCGTAGCTCCCAGTGTTGCCAGGTGATCGAGATGAAAATGGTCAAATGTCATTTGCACGACCCTTTTGCAGGAGGCGTCATCCAAATTTTTGACCGGAAGTCGTTATTTCTACTTTCGACATTTTTGGACCAAATCTCCCAAAGAGTGGCAACACTGGAGAAATTTCTTCACCCAAGCGAAACCTCTCGACAGGACACACAACCGCCTCATACAACTCGACTTTCCAAAATGTTGCCAACTACTCGAAAAATGAATTCCAAAATTTCGAAATTTTCAACTTTTTACAAAATGGCCGCCCACGCCGCCGCCATCTTGATTTTTTGACATTTCGGATTTTTCCCATAATCTGGGTCGTATGTCCGACCAAACCTCAATTTTATTTTTTTTCTGCCACAATTCTTTCTGTCTGTCACTAACTTTAAAGACACCCATGTCGCAAAAAAAACTTTTCCCCATAACTTTCAGTGTTGCCAGACTTTTTTGATAAAAATGGTGAAATGTCATTCGGGTCCCCAAATGTCACCAGACTGCAAACCAAGTTTTTGGAATTTCTGGAAATTTCCATTTTCTACTATCCGGGGCCATGGTGGAAAATTTTCTTCCAAAATGGTAGTTTTTTCCGATTCATGGCAACACTCGAATAACAGACCAACAATCGCCCGGAACATTGTACCCCACTCCGGTGTCGCCATCTGCCGGAAAATTACTACGAAAGTTTGGGAATTTTTTGATCGCAACAAAATGGCCGACGGCTCAGCCGCCATCTTGTTTTTTGTTAATCTGTGAATGTATCTCTTAAGAAGACTATACAAGTCACAAATACTCAAAAGAAATTTTCAAAAACAATTGCGCATCTCGGAGTGACACCTCCCTAAAAACACCTCGAAATCGCGTTTTAATCCAAGATGGCGGCGCGGCCATTTTGTTTTTCCGTTTTTTTCTCATTTTTTTGAACACACCTTGGCAACCCTAACAAACCATCAAAAAAGAAAAAATTCAGGACCAGAGACAAAAAAGTTGATGTCTCAAAAAGTGCCGCCATTTTGTTTTTTGGTTCAAAAAATCCAGTAAAGCTGGCAGTCAAAAAATCTAGTTTAAAACAAACATAAACAATTTTACCCCTCTCCCCTCTAAATACCCTAAAAATACCCCTGATCAGTCAGTGAGTCAGTGAGTGGTAATCGAGCTTTATATAATATTATACAAATATTAAAACGTATAAATGAACATTTTATTGCTGAACATTTATGAACATTCATGATTTTTTCCTACTCCATAATAGTAAAATTATGTAATTACTTATCTTAGCAAAGCAATGTCAGTAAATATTTGTATACAGTATAAACATTTTTTACCTATTTTTTCTGTTTTAGAGTTAGCGTCACATATTCTTTTGTGATTTTTATCCATCCTATCGAAGATTTATTTCGAGTGTGTTTAATCTTGGGTAATTTTATTCCAGCGCCATGAAGATAATGCTGAGCAAGCTGCCCCGGTCGTGGATAGTGGACGACGCTAAAGACGACGGGTACACCGCGCTGCACCTGGCGGCGCTCAACAACCACGCCGAGGTGGCAGAGCTGCTAGTACGCGGTGGAGCACGACCTGACCTGCAGAATGCCAATCTGCAGACTGCACTACACCTCGCTGTGGAGCGTCAGCACACGCAAATCGTGCGCCTGCTCGTCGCACACGGGGCTGACCTCAACATCTGCGACAAGGTACCTGAGACACGCTCACAGCTCACTCTATTGACTAGCGCACTCCGACCTGGATAATGCTAACCTTACGACAGCGCTGCACCTCGCCGTGGAGCGTCAGCACACGCAGATCGTGCGCCTGCTCGTCGCACACGGGGCTGACCTCAACATCTGCGACAAGGTACCTGAGACACGCTCACAGCTCACTCTATTGACTAGCGCACTCCGACCTGGATAATGCTAACCTTACGACAGCGCTGCACCTCGCCGTGGAGCGTCAGCACACGCAGATCGTGCGCCTGCTCGTCGCACACGGGGCTGACCTCAACATCTGCGACAAGGTACCTGAGACACGCTCACAGCTCACTCTATTGACTAGCGCACTCCGACCTGGATAATGCTAACCTTACGACAGCGCTGCACCTCGCCGTGGAGCGTCAGCACACGCAGATCGTGCGCCTGCTCGTCGCACACGGGGCTGACCTCAACATCTGCGACAAGGTACCTGAGACACGCTCACAGCTCACTCTATTGACTAGCGCACTCCGACCTGGATAATGCTAACCTTACGACAGCGCTGCACCTCGCCGTGGAGCGTCAGCACACGCAGATCGTGCGCCTGCTCGTCGCACACGGGGCTGACCTCAACATCTGCGACAAGGTACCTGAGACACGCTCACAGCTCACTCTATTGACTAGCGCACTCCGACCTGGATAATGCTAACCTTACGACAGCGCTGCACCTCGCCGTGGAGCGCCAGCACACGCAGATCGTGCGCCTGCTCATCGCACACGGAGCCGACTTCAACATCTGCGACAAGGTACGTAAAACACGCCCAGTAGCTAACTCTAATATTGATGAACGGGCTCCAACCTGCAAAACGCCAACCTGCAGATTGCGCTGCAACTTGCCGCAGGGCTAAAGCATATCAACTGCTTGCTACAACCACGGAGCAACAGAAAAAGGAGACTGTAAGTAGGTACTGTATGATAGATTGGGTAGACCTCAACATTTATAGCACTCTCAACCCTAGAGCGGATGCTTATGCAGATTACGTGAAACTGACATTAACTTCAGTTAATTGAAACTTACTACAGACGAATAAGTTTTAAAATAAGCAGAGTATCAATCAGTAAGACGACATAATAGAAACTGCAAGTATATTCTGGAACCGCCGACGGTATGCACAATCAAATAGAATCAACATCTAACATCCTTCTAGAGAGTGGTATTAACTCGAGACCGATGTTAGCGCATCGTTGACGAGTCTTTCTAAAAATACAAATAGAACAGTTGCAGACTTGAAGATTTATATCGGGAGCAACATACCACGTGGCGGATACAACGACCAGCTCCTTGATTCTCCAAGATTATTTTTCGAAATACATATACAGAATTTAACGTATGTGCAATCTAAAAATATAAAACGTGTTACTACAACAGTACATAGTATTATTCTGTGCTATGACATATCCGCCTAATAAATTCTTAACTTTAAGATCATGGATTCTCTTCGGCTTATATTAAGAAATTAGTAATTAGTTAATTTATTTTATCCTAAAATTTATTATGAAGGCAGAATAATGAAATACCTATAGGGGTTGTTAAAATACCTAGTGTTTACTATTCTATACAGTTATATCATCAAAGTATTAAATAACATGAGATGGAACATTGAAACACATGATGATTCTTGTAATATGGTATGATAGCGGAATGCGTCCAGACAGCTTACATTTACATACATGGCACTATGTGGTTGCAGCATGTCACATGTAGTTTATAGCCTACTGATCGATGTGATTTGTGGCGCCTGGAGGTTAAATTGGCCAGACAACACGATTGTTAACCGTATATTAGCGTCTAATAAACATGATTGCTGATTAAACGTGACGTCTACAAAGCGGTGTGATTCGGTGCGTGCTGACGCTTTGTGAAAGGCATTAAATTAAAATGTGTACTAATACGATTGATTGTTCTTAAAAATTTAATAAGTACCTACTGATCAAAGTATCGACTGTACTGCAGAGTTGCTCTATCAGATATGATTGTTCTAGTAAGCAATAAAGCAAGCACCCAACCATGAAGGTTGTCAAGTGAAGAATGAAACACATTACCGTAGTTCAGAAAAAGGAAGGTTAAATATTACTACGACTTAGGAATAGGTTATTCCTCTCGAATCAGTGCAGTATTGTTTCATACTATGCAGTAATTTAACTGTAGATTGAAGAACATAATGATTAAACTTGTTCAATTTATCGATGGGAGAATTTAAATGTAAAACTCGTTCCAGGACGGCGACACCCCCTTGCACGAGGCGCTACGCCACCACACTCTACAGCAGCTGAGGCGGTTACAAGACGCTCGCGACACGGCGCTGCTCACTGGCCTCGCGCACACGCACGACAAGAAGTCCTCGGCTTCCATCGCGTGCTTCCTCGCAGCACACGGGGCTGACCTCACCGTTAAGAACAAGAAAGGTATCGTGTATGACTCTGGGCCTAGTGAACCTTCACTGGTTCAAAATCATTAGCGACCAACACTAAAATGCCCACTCTCTTTGGGAACAAACACGGCGCTGCTGACCGGGCTCGTGCACACGCACGACAAGAAGTCCTCGGCTTGCATCGCGTGCTTCCTCGCAGCACACGGTGCTGACCTCACCGTTAAGAACAAGAAAGGTATCAAAATATGACGCTGGCACTAGTCAACCTTCACTACTTCGATATCATTGGCGCCCAAACAAAAAACACGCATCCTTTGTGGGATCGTACACAGCGCTGCTGACTGGATTCACGCTCACGCACGGCAAGAAGTCCTCGGCTTCCATCGCGTGCTTCCTCGCAGCACACGGGGCTGACCTCACCGTTAAGAACAAGAAAGGTATCGTGTATGACTCTGGGCCTAGTGAACCTTCACTGGTTCAAAATCATTAGCGACCAACACTAAAATGCCCACTCTCTTTGGGAACAAACACGGCGCTGCTGACCGGGCTCGTGCACACGCACGACAAGAAGTCCTCGGCTTGCATCGCGTGCTTCCTCGCAGCACACGGTGCTGACCTCACCGTTAAGAAAAAGAAAGGTTATCGTATATGACTCTGGGCCTACACGGCGTTGCTGACTGGGCTCGCACGCGCATGACAAGAAGTGCTCCGCCTCTAGGAGTAGACCTAACCGTTAAGAACAAGAAACGTATCTTGATCCTACTCAATCTGCATGCGAAAACATTAATTGGTGTAAAGCTTTATATCAGACTAGCTTTTTTAGTATGTCACAGATCGTCATAAATTATAACCTATATGTTAATCTGGGTTATAAACAGTAATACTGTAAAGTTTCAACAAAATCCGTTCAGTAGTTTTTGCGTGAAAGAGTAACAAACATCCAGACATCCAGACATCCAAACATCCAGACATCATGACATCCAAACTTTCGCATTTATAATATTAGTAGGATAGTAGGATAGTTAATAGGTTAAATAACACTGTTTGTTTTCCAAACAAAGTAAAATAAATAAATAAACCTTCACCTGGTTTACCAGAGACAAGCACCAGAGTTACCCCGTTTGGGATAGAACTATACAAAAATAACAATGTTACCTAACTACATTTATTCAGCTATCAAATACTGGATAAAATCAGGCAACCTATTATTCATAGGTACTAGCTTTTTGAAAGGGTTTGAAGTTTATAAGTGTGTTGTTCATTAATTTTTTCGCAGGTCAAACGCCTCTCGACCTGTGCCCGGACCCGAACCTGTGCAAGACGCTGACGACGTGCCGCAAGGAGGGCGCCACCGCCACCTGCGACGCCACGCCCGACAGCGAGCAGAACTCGCTCAGCATAGCCAGCGGCAGCGGAACTGCTACTGCAGGTATATTTAGCGACAGGAGCTTAAGATTACTGACCATACTCTACTATAGTTTCAAAATAATGAAATGTCCTATCCATGACATTGACAGCGGGGCGCCACCGTCAATACCGGATCGCTGGTTCCGATTTTTGCCATGTTGGAAACCATATACACTCGACGTCAAATAAATCGCACCTCCCGCGACAAGCACTTTCAAACGTATGCATCCCCACTTCCCACCAATATTGGTACCATTTGAAAGCCTAGTTCTAAACTTCATTTCATTAAAAGAAAGGTTTTTACCCCAAAAATGGGTCTTTAGAAGGATCCAGAGTCACTTCTTCAAAAATTAGGTAGTTACGCTTGAGCCAACTTTTAATGGCTATATAACTGTTAAGTTGAGATTAATCTCTATCTATCTTTTAAAGAGGACACGTGAGATCATTATTTGGTTTTAAAATCATAAAAATTGGTCTAATTGATCCCAGAGGTGAGCCAGTGAGGTCTTTTTTCAAGTCACATTTATGGTATATATTAATCATTTATTAAGAAATTAAATGTGTTTTTCTATAAGGATATTTATTGGGCTTTCAAATAACACCAATATTGTTGGGGCATCATTATTGTGTCAGAAGAAAATCTTTAAAGTTTGCGTCGCGGAAGGTGCGATTTATTTGATGTTGAGTATAGTTGAACGATGGTAGTACCCCCCTGTCATTGAGTTTGGTGAGACAGTTCAGCGTGGGTCATCTATACCCTACACTAGCAGTGTCAAAGACAGTGGTGCCAACTGGTGCGCGTGACAGTGACCTTACTCTACAGTGGCGCCAACAGGTAAGCAATAAAACGGTAGCCTTCATTGAAATAATGACGTGGTAATGTTTTTCTGGGTGGACTCAATGGCATCTTTTGTCGAGTATGCAGGTAGTAAGTAAAACAACCGGTACGAACAAAGGCTGGTTTATTAATAAGTCAAGGATAGCAAAAGTGTTACATTAAAATATATCCACACCACTTCAGAAAGTGTTGAACACTCGGCAGAGTTACGAATAAGAAAAAAATCCTATCTCAAAAACTTCGTTGAGGGTTTCGTTGAAGCCATTTATTTGTTTAGTCAGATAAACACTCGTGGTTTCGTGGTTTCCCCTTTTTACATAAAACACGGTGCTGTTACCATCTGCTTATAGATGGAATAACTAAACAATATTAAAATTTCAGCCACAGGACGTCCACTGCTGAACATAGGCCTCCCCCAATGACTTCCACATCGCACGGTTGGTAGCGGCCTGCATCCAGCGCCTTCCCGCTTTAAACCTTTATCTGGTCGTCGGTCCACCTTGTGGGTGGACGTCCCACGCTGCGTTTTCCGGTGGTTATGTCTTAGCGATTAGAGTCGCTTAAATTATTTATTAAATTATTAAACAACTTGAAATGTGTGTTTGTGTGTTCAGCAGCGGTGGAGATCAGTGTCCCGGAGGCGGCGGGCGGCGACCCGATGGCGGACGAGTGCCTGGTGTGCTCGGACGCCAAGCGCGACACGCTGTTCCGGCCCTGCGGACACATCTGCTGCTGCGCCGTCTGCGCCGCCAGGGTCAGTACCACTGTTATGGAGACTCGGACCAGATTCTGAATCATCCTTAAGATTTGACATTATACTTAAATAATTAACACAAACCACTCTATTCCAGTCAGAACTGACACCTGCTACCCTGTCCTTGGTGGCTTTAAAACTCTTTGACAGTTTAATGACAGCGACTGCTTTTAGTGAGCTGTAACACTGGCGGATTGCAAGCTTTTTCAAAGCCGCGACGTTTTCGCCGCGCACACGCGACCGTGGCCACTCCGCTTTGAAATCCCTTAAGCTTGTTGGCTCCCCTCTTGAGTTCCTTCCTTTCTGTTCATTGAGTAGAAGAAGACGACTTTTGCTATTTTTGGCACTAAAGAATTAAAAGCCCTTGGATAATATGATTTTAATCTATATTTTTCAGTTCATAGCCCCATCACTCCAACTTTCGGTTGTTGTTACACATGGATAGTTTAGTTTTACTTTTGGACTCCACCTGGTTCCAGGTGAAGAAGTGCCTGATCTGCCGCGCGTGCGTGACATCGCGCTCGCTAGTGGGCGAGTGCGTGGTGTGCTCGGAGGCGCCGGCCACGGTGGTGTTCCGGCCGTGCGGCGACGTGGCCGCCTGCCGCGCCTGCGCGCCGCTCATGCGCAAGTGCGTCGAGTGCCGCACGCCGCTGCAGCCGCCCGCGCTAGTCGCAGCCGTCCCTGGGCCAGCTGCGCCCGTTGTACCTGCCGCCGCCGCCTCGATACAGCCCGCTAAATTGGATGGTACGTTTAAGTACTTAATGAGTGCTGTGACGACGCCGCGCGCCGCTCATGCGCAAGTGCGTCGAGTGCCGCACGCCGCTGCAGCCGCCTGCTCCTGTTGCTACTGCTCCCGGTCCAGCCGCGCCCGTTGTACCTGCCGCCGCCGCCTCGATACAGCCCGCTAAGTTGGACGGTATGTATCTACATGCAGCGCCGCTCATGCGCAAGTGCGTCGAGTGCCGCACGCCGCTGCAGCCGCCCGCGCCCGTCGCAGCCGTCCCTGGGCCAGCTGCGCCCGTTGTACCCGCCGCCGCCGCCTCGATACAGCCCGCTAAATTGGATGGTACGTTTATGTACTTAATGAGTGCTGTGACGACGCCGCGCGCCGCTCATGCGCAAGTGCGTCGAGTGCCGCACGCCNTGTTTATTATTATTGTATATTATATCTATGAATTTAATTATGTACTTTATTTATTTATCTATGTTATTTAATAGACTTAACATTCCGCCCACCAAAGACTAGTCTTTACAATCCGCCCACCATGAGAATAGTAAGTTACAAATGACAAAATTTTAACATTTTAAATAGGCTCATGGTAAACATCTAAAATGAATTGAAAACATTAGCAACATTTTAAAATTTTTTAACAATACATTTTTCTTTGGCTACGGAATAAGTATGGACAAAGTAACACAATAAAATCGACATTCTAAGTAGTATCATCTAATTCTAAATAGATTTAATNCCGCCGCCACCTCGATACAGCCGGCTAAATTGGATGGTACGTATTATGTACTTAATGAGTGCTGTGACGGCGCCACATGCCGCTCATGCGCAAGTGCGTCGAGTGCCGCACGCCACTGCAGCGGCCTGCTCCTGTTGCTACTGCTCCCGGTCCAGCTGCCCCAGTTGTACCTGCCGCCGCCACCTCGATACAGCCCGCTAAACTGGATGGTACGTATGAGTACGCCAGTGCGATGAGCGCCGCACGCCGCTGCAGCAGCTACCGGCGCCTGTTACCCCCGCCCCCGCGCCTACTATCGCTGCTGCTGCCTCCTCGATGCAGTCCGCCAAACTGGATGGTACGTACGAGTGCCACTGTCCCCGACCCAGCTGCGCTAATGCCGCTGCTGCTGCTTCGACACGGCCTGCCAAGCTGGACGGTACCCACGTTACTATGTTACAGCTGCTACAGCCGCGCCCGTCGCCATTGCGCCCAGGCCAGCCACACCCGTCGCCGCCGCCGCCGCTGCCTCGATGCAGCCCGCTAAGCTGGGCAATANTGTACTTAATGAGTGCTGTGACGACACCGCGCGCCGCTCATGCGCAAGTGCGTCGAGTGCCGCACGCCGCTGCAGTCGCCTGCGAGTGTTGCTACTGCTCCCGGGCCAGCTGCCCCAGTTGTACCTGCCGCCGCCGCCTCAATGCAGCCCGCCAAACTGGATGGTACGTATGAGTACCACTCGCCGCTACTACAGCCGCCCGCACCCGATGCCGCTGTCCCCGGCCCAGCTGCGCTAATGCCGCTGCTGCTGCTTCGACAGCCTGCCAAGCTGGACGGTACCCATGTTACTATGTTACAGCTGCTACAGCCGCGCCCGTCGTCATTGCGCCCAGGCCAGCCGCACCCGTCACACCCGCCGCCGCCGCCGCTGCCTCGATGCAGCCCGCTAAGCTGGGCAATATATTATGTATGTTTATGTAGTGAGTATACCTACCGAACGCCACTGCAGCCATTTGCGTCAAGTCAGGACGCGAAGCAGAACGATGTGTGTATGAATTCCTCACGACATTGTAGCCATCTACGGTGTATAGGTACCTGCGCCTCAAGCTATGGAACTGATTGTTACATGTTCAGATGTTTCAGAGTTTTATACACTACTATTAGTAGTCACTCCTGCAATCTAGCCCGCCTAGATAGATGCTATGAATGAGTTGTCTTTCTGAGAAATGGCAATTCCAAGATAAGTAAATAATGGGAACGGATATTTCATGTAGTTTTATTACTGCAGGAGCGCCACTAGAAACTGGTTCTAGCTGATAAATAAATAAATAAATATTAATATCTTTGGACNTAGTAGTATGGTAAATTGGAATTTCCACATGGAATATGAATCGGCGTCCACGAGGCGCACAATATTATTTACTTCCTCATATCGCACCTCCATTTTGAGGAACTACGCTCTGCTACCATGTAGCGGATATGAGTTTTAAGTTTTACTTTGTGATATTAAATTAAACACAGTTTTTACGATCTTACGAAGGCAATCGCCGCCATTCTTTTATTTTCAATAGACCACAGAGAAACTTCAAAATATATTTTTAATCATAAAACGTTAAGACATTGGAACAGCGATTACCAGCCAGATACAATAATCGATAACAATGGGTGCTAGCTTAACGGATATACTACTTAATCCTAAATTCTTTAGAAATTTCCATCGATGTAAACAAACACTTGTGCACACAATTACACTATAATACTCACGTTTTCTTAATATCATACACATTATTTCACAAGCTCATGAAACCAACTTTATTCTCATGATGAAACAAATATGAAATCTAACATTGAAAACAAAATATTTTAACAAAATATTTGGATGGTGAAAATTTGTGCTTCATGTTAAAATGTCAAATCGACATTTGACGTTTAAATTTAGGTCCTATCTCTGCAAAATCTGTAAGTCATAGACAATATTCATAGATAATAATCTGTAAATTTTATCGATTTTATTTCAAGTATTCAATTATTTCATTTACCAATTTAATAATATTAATTTAAAATTAAATATAAACGAGGTTATATTCAACAATGTATTTTTTCTTCATTGAATGCAACAACACACTTTGTGAAGAAGTCTTTGAATTCAGCTTTATTATACAGACGAGTGTCACATAAAAAAGACCTTTCGAACACTTTTCGACTGGTTTACGATTTTATTGTGCACTTTAGACCCACAGTATAATTTAAATTATATTTCCTAAACAAATAAAAAAGGGTTAATTAAATTTTCTTTGATTAAGAAGATCCTATTTTGACGATCACATTACTGATCTCAATGTCAATTAGAAGAGGGATTGATCTTAATAATTATACAAACGATCTTTAAAAATCTAATAATCGTCTGTTGCAGTCCGTAAATGACATTTACAGAATTGCGATTAACGAGAGATTTTGTCGCATCACTAGTAGACCAACTGACATAGACTAAAAATTCGTCAATGTCAGTTGGCCATATTTGTTTACATTTAGGGAAATTTCTAAAGAACTAAGGTATATATACTTTTTTTTTTAAATACATACATATTATACATAGTAACACCCAGACCCGTCACAGAAATTAAAATTCATCATTTCAATTTCTGCCCGGCCGGGAATCGAACCCGGGACCTCTCGGCACAGTAGTCCGTTCTGAACCACTACACCAAACGGCCGACTGATTTAACGAGAACGCTATCTACGATATAATTCTTTACGACTCTCTCTCTCTTTATTTACGATTCTCTACGACTTTATTCTCAGTTTGGCCCTAAGGTTGACTGGCAGAAAATGCCGAAAGGCATTAAGTCCGCCTTATGTACACCGTTCTATGTGCATATAAGTTTTAAATAAATAAATAAATAAAAATAATTCGCAGTGGACAAAGAGAGCGGCAGCAACCTGGCGCAGGTGCAGGTGAACAAGGGGCAGCCGGCGCCCGCGCAGGCCGCGCCGCACCACATGAACAACGGCTCGCGCCCCGCCGACGTGCAGAAGCTGCAGCAGCAGCTGCAGGACATCAAGGAACAGGTACACACTACACACCCTGCTGCTAATGAGGGCTATCGTTTTTATACTTAACAGTTGGCACCCCTGGCGATTGAAAGACCTTACTCTACAGTGGCGCCACCTTGATGAGTGCAAATGCGATAGTCCTCCTACCACTTTAGCACTCACCAGATGGTGCCACTGTCTTCGCTACTAGCAAGTGACAGGACCTTACTCTACAGTGGCGCAAACTGGTGAGAGCTAAAACGATAGCCCTCATTGGGTATTGGACACCATTCCCCCAATCATTCTAGAGCACAACTTTTAAAAATTTCTTTTAAACTTTAAAAAAACATCTATAGTCTGGTCTGTGAGCACGTAGAATTTTGTCCAATGACCCCAAGCTACTCATCCTTATCGCTCGCGCGTAATTATGTTGCTCACAGACCAGGCTTTAGACAAATATGGGCGTGGCCTGTTTGCTTGAAAAACATGATTGCTGCGCCAATCGGATCCTCTGCTTCGTTTTGCTTTTGTTATTTCATCGTTGCTTGCGATCATCGAGTCTTGCATCGTGTTCGTCTATCATTTCGTCGTGTCGCAGAAGACTAGGAAGGTATATTGAACCTGCATTGTTTTGTATTTCTTTTTTGAACACGAGATGCGCCTTAATTTATGTGAAGCATTACAGTACATTTGCATACCGAACCAGAGCCATATTAAAATACTGTTATCCACAAAAACAAGCTGTATACAAATAGAAATACACTCTTTACAGACTATGTGCCCGATCTGCCTAGACCGATTGAAGAACATGATATTCCTATGCGGCCACGGCATGTGCCAAATGTGCGGCGACCGCATCACCGTGTGCCCCATCTGCCGCAAGCAAGTCGAGAAACGTATATTACTCTACTAGGATACATAAAATTATAGTGTACTGATCTGTTTGACTGTTATGTGGTGTCGTACTATAATTATTGTTGGCGCGTGTCTTATTAAAAAAAAGAGACATCAAAAACTGGGAAATCAGGAAAATTCCTGTCATATATCAGCTAAGTGGGTAGCACAAAATTAAAAAATAATATTAAATAGGCGGACAACATTTTGTAATCAAACTTTAAAATCTTTCTGTGCCAGATTTTTATAGCAACTTTATACTTATGCGAAGTCAAAGAATTTAATTCGAGCAATCGGTCGTGGTATCCCAGTAAAATGTAATGACATGCCACATATTTAGGTACCTAAATTGAATGTTATTCCAACCATTAAATGAAATTTAATTATTGCATTTGGAATCGCAATCGCGACGTATGTTATCGCTCGTTTTATGCATTTATGTTGTATACTTATCTACATTTACCTAATTACTGTAGTATTATCATTTAAAATTAAGCCTTATGAATAGATTTATATATCTACATATAGTTAAAATAAATGTTTGTTATATGAATTTTGAAATGAAACAATATTTAAACTATACGTGTTAATTTATTATAAGTTAAAACAATAAAGTTTTTTTATAATACTATTCACTTTCATTTCAGAATCACAATCTTTCAAATGTAAGTTTCTTGGTTAACCAGAATAATTTGAGATAAGCGTATTGTCATCCATAGAGTGTTTATCGTGAACTGGGTAGTCGGTTGACTTGGAAACTTGTGTCGCCTCATCTGATGACAAGATACGATCACGCAGTAAGTCGTAAGTCAAATCCTGTATTCTGAATGACAGGTGGAAGTTCCTCGCGAGCTCACTCTCATCGCACCTCTCGCAGTCTTTATAGTACAGAGCTGATAATCCCTCTAAATCTGGCGACGTGGCACAATACAATGGGGTGCTGGCTGCCTGCCTCTATAAAAAAAAATAGAAACTGTATAGCTAGCATCACAATTATACCCGCGTCTTGGACACAAAGTAAGTACTACTACTTAAGTCTTTTATGTGCAATAAATAAATAAAAGTTATTCTACAATTCTAAGAGGAGTACTAAAGTAATTATTTTATATACAATTACTAATTAAAACAGTACAGTTTAAATAACTTACTATTGATTTTGAAAATGGCAACATTGAAGTGTAAAGCGCCTCATATACCCACCAGTTGCGGCACAAATTTGTTTTGACGAAAGAACCAGGGTGTGCGCTGAAAACTTGTTTACCAGTATTCAACCAACGATAGCCCAAGTAGTGCATCGCTAGAAGACCACAAAGTTTCGATACGTTATATGCTCTAATTGATGTATATTCCTCTTCTGGTAGAGATAATATGTCTTTATGGGGCGTCAATATGTTTTCCATAGACCATTTAATGTTTCTGAAATACAAATAAAGTGATAACTGCAGATTTCATTTTGAAAAATAAATGTGAATTGATCGTCGATAAGTAGATTCATGTATAAAAATTTCACAACTTTTGAATTGAACACATTTTTTTCAAGCTGACCTGTGTGATTCCGAAGAAACAAATACCACTCTTGCATTGGGGGCAAGTATTTTTTCTATATTCATCAGTAGGTAATACTGACTCAAATAGTTGACTTGAAAAGTGGTCTCCAGCCCATCATCCGTCAGAGTCCATGGCAATCCAAATACTCCCGCGTTTAATATAACTATATCTATGTTCCTATAAAATACATTCGTGTAAAGTAAAAGAGAAACAAGAGAAAATAAATAATTCGTATAGTCGACGCCAACAGAAACTGGCAAATTTTAGGAAGCCTGGCACACAGCGCACAGCGCCAAACGCACATAGGTACTAAGAAGAGCTTATATGGTGGTCAAATTGTAAATAAGCTGATAATATTAGTTCACTTACTGATTTCGACTTAGAATTTCATCTGATGTTTTTTTCACTGATTTGAGAGAAGCCAGGTTAGTCTCGTAGAAATGTAACAGGTGAGGCTTGTCGCTGGAGTTTCTCACCACATTCGCTGCGTAGGCGTTGCGGCACGCCATCAGCACGGAGCAGTTTCGTGCGCTCATGCACCGCGTCATTTCCAGCCCTACGCCGCTGTTTGCACCAGTGATCAAGCACGTTTTACCTGATAGATCTATGTCTTTCACCACCTAAATATGAGCAATAGCTATAGGTTTTCATCGCAATAATATTAGCTACAACAACCTGGTCGAGTTCACTGCGCATCTAGCGGTCGCGTGACGTCACATCGACGCTCTGGTACGGACGAGGCGAACATGGGGAGGTGTGTGGATATATGGGGAGGGAGATTCGCATTACAGTGAGGTGCGCAGTAAGCTCGATAGGGTTGTACAACTTTACTGTCTCTTTAGACATATTCACAATAAAATTGCTATTGTTCAGCCATCCGGATACCACCAACCGCAATCAGCTGATTGCTAAATAAAAAATAAATAAACTACTCTACAAGTGTTATTGAGCTCAGAGCTATTAAAGAACAGTTTTTGCAAGACCAAGTCCCACCCATGTGAAAAGTGTTAATGAAAATACCTCCTCTGCAGTTGGCCCATGAATCCTCGGCAAGTCTAGATTATTATGTAAAATGTCCATTAAATTGTTTACATAACTTTTAGAAGTTGGAAAAACGGAGAAACATCGTCGGCTATACCGAATCCCTGAAGGGATTCTGAAAAACAAAATTAAAGCATGAGCAAGAAAATAACAGTTACTTATGTATTTTAATATTATTTCATTTTAAAACCTACATTCACCCCATCTGTCACTTTAAATGGAAACGATGGATATAGCATATTAGCCTGTCTGTGTAAGCAATTTCCAATGCAATGTACAATTTATAGATACCAGTACCACCTTCTTACGTGACATCTAATTATTCACAGAAATGCCAGTTAACCAAGTAATAAAATAATTGCTTGGCCAAGCTATATGTATGCGCGGGCGCAGAGCGCTGTAGTCAAACATTATTCGAGTGTCCGTAGTACGACGTAGCACCCGCGTGTGCTTATTGTTTGATAAGTAAAACCATGTACCTAGGTAGGAGTTAGGACAACGTTCCGCGCCCGCGCGTCAGTCTGGCCAAGCACTTACTTATACAGTTGCGGTGTAGGCATTTTTTTTACGTCCTGACTCATCCAGTTGTCTTTTCCAGATTTTGAAACAAATACTTACCTTGGTAAACATCCAATCAAGTTAAAAAACATAATTAGGGCTGATTTGTGACAATAAACCCCTTTTCGATTATTATGAAATAAGTCTGAAATACTTTATTAGAGTGATAAATTAACCGTTCTGTTAGATCTTTAAAATTGTATTGTATGTAATGTCACAGTTAATGACATTGATAATTTGTGACAGTCTCACAAATTATCAATGTCATTTATGGTAATTTATAAAATGGCCAGCCTACGAGGCCAGCCATGGCGTGGCCGTGGCGAGTCGCCAACCAGTCGTGGAATTCTTTGGTCGTGGACCTATATAAGCGTGGACCAGTCAGATCGCCGGCGCAGTATTAAATTTTTTTAGCGTAAAAAGTTGTAACGCAGTCGCCCGGCAAGCGAAAGGTCGTGAGTTTGGTTCCCAAGAAAAATACGACTACCTACTAAGCATTGTTTTTCAAAGTGGATCTATTGGCACGGGTACTAATTCATAAGTTGACCAAAGCTATTCGAAATGCGATTACATAATTCCCAGACTGCAAACCCCTTTTTCTTTAATGCTGAATAAAATCTTGCCTAATATCTGATATCCCCTCCAACCTTTACATGTCAACGAGCTTTGTTACACTATCGGCATAGCACTGCATAGCACATAAGTAGAGTAGGTTCCTGGTATGAACATTCCGTTGGGTGTGTTCAGTTAAGTTTCTCGTAAGAACAGTAAAAACACACCCAACTCGTGTATAGTTTCGTCGCGCCACCCTCCCTCCGTGCTCCGTTTTCTCTCCGATGATATCGTCCGTTGAAAAAGTATTGGATGTAGCTCATTACTTAGTTCGTTCGTTTCAGCCAAATGACGTTCACTGCTGGACAAAGGCCTCCCCCAAGGTTTTCCACAATGAACGGTCCTGCGCTGCCCGCACCCAGGCTCCTCCCGCGACCTTTACCAGATCGTCGGTCCATCATCATCATCAGGAGGCCTGCCCACGCTACGTCTTCTTCCAGCCCGTGGTCGCCACACGAGAACTTTTCTGCGCCAACGGCCATCGTCTCTACGAGCTATGTGCCCCACCTACTGTCACTTGATTTTAGCAATTGTGCGAACGTAACTATGTAAGATTTCGGTTACTTTGGTTCTCCTGCCTCCTCATTTCTGATTCGGTTTGATTTACGAAACGCGCGACAGCGTCACTACTAAAAGTCGCCGTGAGAAAAGAGCCTTTGTTACCTACAACCATAGCCTACAACAGCCTACAACCTACATCCAAGGGTCAGAGCAAATCGTCAGATGTTATCCCTTATGCCTAGTGCCTACTTCATATATCAGAGGAATCTACCCAGATGCGCTATCCTTGTATAGCCTGACCAGGAACATAAAAACCCTCGCCATGTTGCGGAAAACTAATGGTACTAATTTCTTTTAATGGCAACAGTAACTGAAAACTTCATTGACATGTCACCTTGCATGTCAGTCTATTGCTGTCAAAGTGTAAACAAACTTTATTTTAAATGTGCGCAATTGATTTTGTGAATTAAATTGCTAAAATCTTTTTATAGTCGTCAAAGAAAAGTGGTTCACAATGTGTTAAAGTATTTGTCGAAGAGAAATACTAAGGGTTCGGACAATATTTTCATTGAATAATGTTTCCGACAAAGGTTGTCAAATTGACTGACATGTTTATCGTATATAGTTCAGCCCCCCTAGACAAAACGCACTTTTTGATCGAATCGAAAATCGAATCCGTCAAATTCCATACAAAAAAGGGGCTTTTCGACCACTTTTCGACTGGTTTGCGATTATAATGGCACTTTGTCTAGACCCACTAAAATGACTGTCCTGTCGATGACATTGACAGTGGGGCGCCACCGTCAATACCGGTGGGTCTAGTCAAAACGCACTTTAAAATCGCAAACCCATCGCAAACCAGTCGCAAACCAGTCGCAAACAAATAAAAAAANAGCTTTTCATGTTTCTTTATAAAGTCTTGATACTGCTTATCTAGAATATCCAATCTCGCCCTAATGTAGTTCTCAGTTATCCGATCTTTAGGTGACTTTTTATAGTTGGTAAATCCTTTCTCAATCTGTGATTTTAAATCTATCAATACACGCAAAGCTTTATCCATTATGAAAAATAAATAAAGTTATGGTCGCAAGGACCTAACTCACGTTAGGGCACGCTGCGGCGTGGGAGCTAGAAGCTGGGGTCTTGTATGTCATCTGTTCTGGACGGTACGACCGCACGGGTTCCTCACGTTCCGTCTGGCGCAGGTGCTGACCGGGCATGGCTGCTTCGGTTCGTACCTGCATAGAATCGGGCGACCGGAATCCCCGTGTGCCACAAATGCGGCGCGGTGGATGACACGGTGCAGCACACCCTCGCGGTCTGCACAAGCTGGGAGGAGCAGCGCCGTGTCCTCACTGCGGTCGTGGGCCGGGATCTTTCGCTTCCGAGCCTGGTCATCGCCATGCTGGGAAGTGAAGGATGCTGGAAGGTGGTCGCCTCCTTTTGCGAAGAGGTCATCCTTCAGAAGGAGGCAGCGGAGCGCGAGCGGGAGAACGATCCTCTCGCCCCATCGCTCCGTCTCTCGCTCCATCAGAAGGCGGTTGTACGACCGTTCTACTCTGCCCCCAGGTGGCGGCCAGCAGGCCGGGGGTGCGGGGGCACCGTTGTCACCTCCGTCTGACGGGAACGGCTTGGCGTTTCGGGCATTCCCGTCGGACCCCCACAAGGGGGGCGTGTAGGGTCCGCCGTGTAGGCGAGCTGTCGCTGTAGCGTGGTGTCGCGGAAGTCTAAGGCTACGGCCGGATACTCGCGACACCACCACTCGGGCTACGACAGAACGCCGCGGAGGTTTTAGTAGGTAAAACCCGTCCTTTTCCCTTTATAGGGCACCGGGAGTCCCACACACCACCCTGTCCCCCGGCAATGGTGACGGTGCGCAAATCATATCCTCCGCGACAAAACAAAAGGGGGGCCCAAAAGGAGCTGTGCCTAGGGGCCCCGAGATGGTTAATCCGGCCCTGCTATTAAACAATGATGGGAAATTTACAATTCTATGTGACAGCCCTGGCGCATATTTTCAATTTGATTTTTCTCAAATATATCACGGAATTTAAAGCTGATTTTTTTATACAATTAGATTAAATATCAGACTATATCTTGCAATTAAAAATGGTTGCATATATTAAGGTATAATTGAGAAAAAAAATAAAAACAAAAATCACAAAAATCATTTTTCCTAATTAACTGAATGCGTTTACGAAGCACTTAATACGCTTATTACTTGTAGTTTTAAGAACTCTATGAAGTATTATAACATTTCTGAATTAAATGTTATTAGTTAACGAGTGAGAATATTTTTGCATAATTTTGAAGTAAAAAAAAATAGGTAACTTTGAATTTTTATACCGCGAAAACTACGTGGAATTTTCAAACGGGAGTTTTACTATCATGTTTGTATAACTGAGCTCTATACGGTTCATCAAATAAATGAGAATGTCCGATTATACAGTCCCATAACACACTGTGCCATGTTAACATGGGCTAGTGTCGGCTCATATATATACCCATTTACCTAACACCCTGTATATGTATGCGCGGGCGCAGGGCGTAGAGCAAACATTATTCGAGTGTCCGTAGTACGACGTAGCACCCGCGCCGCGTGTCTTTCTTGTTTGGTAAGTAAAACCATGTAGGTAGGACAACGTTCCGCGCCCGCGCGTCAGTCTGGCCAAGCACTTACTTCCACAGTTGCGGTGTAGGCAATTTTTTTTACGTCCTGTCTCATCCAGTTGTCGTTTCCAGATTTTGAAACAAATAGGTACTTACCTTGGTAAACATCCAATAAAGTTAAAAAACATAATTACTTAGGGCTGATTTGTGACAACCAACCCCTTTTCGATTATTATGAAATAGTCTGAAATACTTTATTAAAGTGATAAATTAACCGTTCTGTTAAATCTTTAAAATTGTATTGTAATGTCACAGTTAGTGACATTGATAATTTGTGACAGTCTCACAAATTAAATTATCAATGTCATATAAGGTAATTTATAAAATGGCCAGCCTACGAGGCCAGCCATCATGGCGTGGCCGTGGCCAGTCGCCAACAAGTCGTGGACCTAAGCGTGGACCAGTCAGATCGCCGGCGCAGTATTAATTTTTTTTAGCGTAGGTAAAGAGTTGTAACGCAGTCGCCCGGCAAGCGAAATGTCATGGGTTTGGTTCGTGACCAGCCCGTGGTCGCCACACGAGAACTTTTTCTGCCCCAACGGCCATCGTCTCTACGAGCTATGTGCCCCACCCACTGTCACTTGATTTTAGCAATTCTGCGAACTATTTCGGAAACTTTGGTTCTCCTACGGATCTCCTCATTTCTGATTCGATTTGATTAAACGCGCGACAGCATCACTACAAAAAGTCGCCGTGAGAAAGGGGCCTTTGTTACCTACAACCATAGCCTACAACAGCCTAGGTACAACCTACATCCAGGGATCAGAGCGAATCGTCAGATATTACCCCTTAAGCCTAGTGCCTACTCCATATATCAGAGGAACCTACTCAGATGCGCTATCCTTGTATAGCCTGACCAGGAACATAAAAACCCTCGCCATGTTGCGGAAAATTAATGGTACTAATTTCTTTTAATGGCAACAGCCCCCCTAGACAAAACGCACTTTTTGATCGAATTGAAAATCGAATCCGTCAAAACTCCATACAAAAAAGGGGCTTTTCGACCACTTTTCGACTGGTTTGCGATTATAATTTGCACTTTGTCTAGACCCACAGTAACTGTAAACTTCATTTACATGTCACCTAGCATGTCAGTCTATTGTTGTCAAAGTGTAAACAAACTTTATTTTAAATGTGCGCAATTGATTTTGTGAATTAAATTGCTAAAATATTTTTATAGTCGTGAAAGAAAAGTGGTTCACAATGTGTTAAAGTATTTGTCGAAGAGAAATACTAAGGGTTCGGAGAATATTTTCATTGAATAATGTTTCCGACAAAGGTTGTCAAATTGACTGACATGTTTATCGTATAGTACAGTCAACTATGAAAATTAGCTGTGGTTTGTTTCAACTACCTATTTTAAAGTTTTTTGTAAGTGTTAAATTTTATGGAATTGGGAAAGAAGTACCGAGTTTGAAGCGTTCATGAGCAGACATTGTAATTGAATATTCAAGTTCAGAATTTGATTATTGATGAATAATAATAAAATCCTACTTTCTCGATTGATGGTTTCATTTAATTTATTGAAACCAGTTTACCTATAATATATATAATATTTTTTTGTTAATTTATGAAAATATTAAATTAGCCCATAATCCTGAATCTTGATACATAAAGTTAGCCTATTAATTTAATACAGGTACGACTGTACCCAGTGTTGCACTATCAAATGCAATTGACGCGCCTCTATGCCAGGGTTTTTATGTTCCTGGTCAGGCTCATGTCAGGCTATAGTATTGTTGAATGTTTTTTTTTAATAAATATTTACACATCCCTTCCGAAAAGCTATTTTATTGGCTTAACATAATTATGGTTAAGGTGAAGCAGCTGCTGACCTTCGGATAGCGTTCTAGATACGGGAGGAAACTCTTTTTGATAATAAATAACAAAAACATTTGTTGATCCCTTTGCCCTCCCAGCCAGAATAGCGAATTAAAAAAAAAGGCAAGAAGAGAAACGTCACATTTATGGATTGGAAACGTCAACGCACAGATGAGACAGGGACGTCAAGTTGATTAAATTTCGGATTTGTTTTGTCGTGGTTTTGTGGTTTTAATTAATCTAATAGTTCGTGTGATTTTTAAGACACTAGGCTAGGATATGATTGTAATATTTATGATTTAATCTAATTAAAAACAATAAATTTCATTCATAAGTTACCTTGTAAAAATAAATAAACACGTAATATAATTTTGTAATCATCAAACGGCAATCAAATCATTGTTATGATTAGTTACTAGGTATTTGTAATTATTTAATTTACATTTTTACTTACTGGTTATTGGTTATTTCAGATTGTGATAATGATACATTGCTAACAAATTAGCTAGATCATCGTTGTATTAAATACAAGCAACCATGGATAAATCTAGCAAAAGACACCATTCATCGTCAGATTCGGATAGCGCTGAAGAATTTCGACGCAAGGATTTAAAAGAAAGAGACGAGTTTGCTAAAAGGTTGAAAAGTCGAGATGATAATAAAACAAAGAAAGTCGCAAACGCGTCTGGTAAAAAATCTTATGAAGAAGCTGCTAAACGATTAAAATTGGAGGCTGAAGACAGAGAAAAGCTTTTACCCAAACTGCGAGTGCAATCTCGTCGAAAATATCTAGTGAAACGTAAAGAAGATAAGGTAGTTGAGCTGGAAGCTGATATTGCAGATGATGAGTACCTATTTGAAGAAAGCATGTAAGCACTTTTTACTTCATTAGATAAATATTGTGCTCTATGTCCCTGATTCAGAAAGTTAAAAAGAATACACATAGTATGGATAGTGATTAAACACTTGAATATTGAGATTCCAGGCTCCAGCATTATATTATGACCAATTAAAAAATCTTTTCTGATCCTATTCTTTTGTTTAATTAATCATTGAGAAATAATTATTTATTTTATTAAAGGTTCCTTCATATTGTATATTTTATTTTCAGACTAACAGAAAGAGAAAAAAGAGAAAGAGAGCATAAGAAAACTATTCTTCAGTTAGCTAAAGAACATGAAAAAGCAAGAGAACTTGAAAATGTCCAGAGATATCACATGCCCCAAGACTTGGGAAAAGGAGAGAAAGGTAAATTGAGTACTGTAACTTGTAAATAATGTTTTAGGCTGGCCCTTTCATTAAGATTATACTTTAGATTTACTTATACATATAAAACAAAATTTGATGTAAGATTTATGACCATGTACTGAAATAAATTACNTAAATTAGTTTGGTTCCATTTACAGGTGAATATGTTGAAGTAGATGAAAATGAAAAATTACCACATTCTGAACAAAGAAAATGGGAGCAAGAACAAATCAAGTCAGCATTTTTTAAATTTGGTGCTAAAGATGCTAAAGCTCGTGATGAATATGAACTCTTACTTGATGAACAGATTGACTTTATACAAGCTCTTCAACTGGAAGGCACTAAAGAAAAAAAGGAAGAAAAAGAAAAATCTGAGTACCAAAAAATGCGTATGAGCATTGAAGAAACCAAAAAGTCACTACCTGTCTATCCTTTCAAGGAATCCCTCATAGAAGCTATTAAAAAATACCAAATATTAATAGTAGAGGGTGAGACTGGTTCAGGTAAAACAACACAAATTCCTCAATATCTTTATGAAGCTGGTTTTACAGATGATAGTAAGAAAATTGGATGCACACAACCACGACGAGTAGCTGCAATGTCTGTAGCAGCTAGAGTTGCCCAGGAAATGAATGTGAAACTTGGAAATGAAGTTGGATATAGTATTCGATTTGAAGACTGTACTTCCGACAGAACTGTTATAAAGTATATGACAGATGGAACACTACACAGAGAATTTTTATCTGAACCTGATTTAGCTTCTTATAGTGTCATGATTATTGACGAAGCTCATGAACGCACTTTACATACTGATATTCTCTTTGGCCTAGTGAAAGATATTACTAGATTCAGACCAGATTTGAAACTACTTATATCAAGTGCAACATTAGATGCTGAAAAATTCTCTAGTTTTTTTGATGATGCTCCAATATTCAGAATCCCAGGAAGAAGGTTCCCAGTTGACATCTATTATACTAAAGCACCAGAAGCTGACTATGTAGATGCCTGTGTTGTCTCTGTCCTACAGATACATGCGACTCAACCACTAGGAGACATATTAGTTTTTTTAACCGGTCAAGAAGAAATTGAAACATGTGTTGAAATGTTACAAGAAAGAACCAAAAGAATAGGAAAAAAACTGAGAGAACTTGTTATTTTACCGGTTTATGCTAATTTGCCAAGTGATATGCAAGCAAAAATATTTGAACCAACTCCTGAAGGTGCCCGAAAAGTAGTATTGGCTACAAATATCGCTGAAACATCACTCACCATTGACAATATAATATATGTAATTGATCCAGGGTTTGCAAAACAGAATAATTTCAATTCCAAAACAGGCATGGAAAGTTTAATGGTTGTTCCAATTTCTAAAGCGTCAGCTAATCAAAGAGCGGGTAGGGCTGGGCGTGTAGCTCCCGGCAAATGCTTCAGACTGTATACAGCTTGGGCTTACAAATACGAACTTGAAGATAATACAGTTCCAGAGATACAAAGAATAAATCTGGGAAATGCTGTTCTTACGTTAAAGGCATTGGGAATTAATGATCTTATTCATTTTGACTTTCTTGACCCACCACCACATGAAACACTGGTGCTAGCATTGGAACAATTATATGCCCTTGGAGCATTGAATCACCATGGAGAATTAACTAAAGCAGGACGACGAATGGCTGAATTTCCCACAGATCCAATGTTAGCTAAAATGATACTAGCAAGTGAAAAGTAAGTACCTACATAGAAAACAATACTAGTATTATGTTTTATAAAGAAGGCCATTATTTTATTACTGCACAATATTAATACAGTTATTATTTTCTAGTGTATGTATTACTTTGCTGAGATTTCCTTTGCTGTGGTCACCATTATACATACCTAACGACCTTAATTATTTTCTGTCGAAGAAGATGATGGTTTTTATAGATTAATAAATTAATATATGATATGCTGATGATGCCTGCCAAGCGTGGAGATTATGGCAAAACCCTCCACTATAGTGGAGGAGGCTCATAGTCCAGCAGTGGACTATAAAGGGCTGTTGATGATGATGATGATGCTGATGATACCTAATATTAATTTTCATTTTTCAGATACAAATGTTCTGAAGAAATTGTAACTATTGCTGCAATGTTATCAGTAAACAGCTCTGTTTTTTATAGACCCAAAGATAAAATAATACATGCTGACACAGCTCGAAAAAACTTTTTCCATCAACATGGTGATCATTTAACTTTAATGAATGTGTACAACCAGTGGGTGGAATCTGATTATTCAGTCCAATGGTGTTATGAAAACTTCATACAGTATCGTTCAATGAAGAGAGCACGCGACGTACGTGAGCAGTTGGCGGGCCTCATGGAGAGAGTGGAAATTGATATGGTGTCCAGTATAGCTGAAGACACCAACATACGAAAAGCTATTACTGCAGGCTATTTTTACCACATAGCAAAGTTTTCGAAGGGTGGCCATTATAAGACTGTCAAACATAACCAAGTAAGTATAGTTCACGTTATACTTTTAGTCAAATTATTTGTTTATATGTTTAAATAACAAATAGATTTAACCATAAATTAAATTAACAATTATTTATTTAAAATTTGTTGTTTCAGACTGTCATGATTCATCCTAACAGTGCCTTATTTGAAGAGTTACCTCGGTGGGTAATCTACCATGAGTTAGTATTTACTTCGAAGGAATTTATGCGTCAAGTCACAGAAATTGAAAGTAAATGGTTATTAGAAGTTGCTCCACACTATTATAAATCTAAAGAATTAGAAGACTCCACTAATAAGAAAATGCCTAAAACTGTTGGTAAAGTAGCAACAAATAAATAACTTTTAACTAGAATTGATATTTTTATTTTTAACTTTTTCGTTATAGCGATGATTGATAAATATCATTTGAGATTCTAAATATTCCTAAGTACAATTTAGGACCTGTATCGTAAAATATAGGATGGCATCGCAAAATCGCGGTGTGGCGCGAAAGCGTGAGTAACGCATACCCGCCGCGAGGGGTGTTTTATTCTTCGGATGAAACCCTTTCTCTGGCTCGTCATTATTTTGTGTATAAAAAAGACTTGGATTAATATAAATGAAATAAAACAATGTGGGTAAACGCATCATGTTTATTCAACACTTATTTCTACAATAGTTCTTAGTAGCCTAGCAACTCTTTACGCATAATCTGCTGATTGTAGCTGCAGGAATACTGTTTATAGGTTTTAAAAGTTTAAATAAATAAATTATGTCAATTTAAAAAGTCACTAAGAATGAGTCCAAAACTTACACAGTAATTTACCTGTCTGATTTGCCTGGAATGTTAGGGCCTCATACACAGAACATTTTAAAACCACAACCTCCTAAGAAAACAGAGATGACATTAACTTTTTGTTAACTAGAATGCACATTGAACTAATAATATTATAAGCAAGACTAGAATTTGAGATGTGTGTCAATAAAACCTCTATTATAATATGTAGTTTAAAAATCTGTCACTCTCCCTTTTCTTTCCCAATCTCCATATCTTGTTGGCTCAGGTCCACGTGGGCCTCCAACTTCGCCTGTGTGAGGGTTTGTGTTATCGGGCCAGGCTGGCAAGGGATCATCCTTAACTTCAGGGTGATTAAGGGGTTGATCACCTAGATCATCAATAGGGGTAGTTTCCCTTAATTTTTTTCGAAATTCTGCCATTCTCTTAGATTCTCCTGGTTTTGGGTTGTCATCCATCCCTATATTTGACTTCTGGGCATATTGGAACATTACTAGAGAACTTGTATGCGCTGAAAACAAATTATGCAATCAAAATAAATACTTTGTATGCGCCATAATTGCCTCAAACTTGATACAATGTCACAACATTATGATATCATAAACAGAGCCTGCCTGCTACCTGTGGCATGTCGTAATTATTAAATAAACACCAGGTTTGTTACGGTCTTTGGCATCTGCAGTGATCAAAGCTTACAATGTCTTATAATGCATTGACAGACAACAGGTGTTAATGCAATTATTTTATGTAGTATTCCTATTCATTTATGATGCAGATCTTTTGTTTAAGGCAGAGATCAATGACAATGTAAGAAAAAATTTTGAGCCCATCACTTCTAACCTTTACAGAGTTGCTTCCTGGTAGTAATATGCATTAATCTTGATATTAATAACATGTTGGGCTAGGAGTTTTCAATGAATAAATATTCAAAACACTTTTAGGCCTCAGCCTCGAACTTAGCGGGCAGCGGGGCGGGAGCGGCGGCGGCGCTGGAGCGGGGCGGGCAACGCAGACCCGTTCTCGAAACAAGCGGACAGCTCGCGCGGCGCTTTAGCGGCGAAGTGTTGTGTTCGGGGTTGTGTTGTCGAGATATTTGTTTTTATTCGCAAACGAAATGTCTGAACAACGGCGACAATTTTATTTATATTCAAATTTATTCCTAACGCTCGATTTATTGTGGGCAAAAGAAGGAGTGCGCTGCCCGCTCGTTGCCCGCTTCCTCGCCGCTGCCCGCTCGTTGCCCGCTGCCGCCCCGCTGCCGCGCCGCTGTTTTCGAGAACCGGTCTATTTGGTTTTACGCATAAGATCCTGCCGCTCCCGCGCCGCCGCCGCCGCCGCCCCGCTGCCCGCTAAGTTCGAGGCTGAGGCCTTACAATAATTCTTCAGAAGCGAATTGTTTTTATTTTGATCTGTGATTTTGATTGATCATCAATCAAATTTCAAAATGACAGGAAAAAGGAATAATAAATTTGTAATCTGTGGATTGAAGTCGAGGATATTATATGAAACTATGTGGCAAATTTTGATTGACTAATAACGCAAACAATGATCCAAAAGTTCTTAAGTATCTCCTACCCTCCACATCTTAAGGTGTGTGAATTTACGATTAAAAGAATGCATTTAGAGCAATTTAAATCTATCTCGTTTAATTAGACATAATTGGAATTGGCTTGCACAATTGTTGTTGTAAGCTTTCTTTGTTTACAAAATCTCTGGTGTCATAGACAACCATAGACAATTATGATATAGAATGTTAATTGTCTATGCACGAATCATATGATCGATTTCATTCGCATCTTGTTCTGTCTTTGTAGAACGAGACATTTTCTGATAAATTGGTGAAGCCAAGAATTTTACTGCAAATTGTGCTTGCATATAAGTGTTAAAGATGAAGGGCTGCCTTTTCAACATTGACGCGGGATACCTTGAAGGATTATGCCGAGGATTCAAGTGTGGTATCCTCAAACAATCTGACTACTTGAACCTGGTGCAGTGCGAAACCTTGGAAGGTGGGTGGAAATACCGTACTCTTGATTATTTAATGTATTTTGGTACGACTGAATCGTAATTAAAACTGGTGTATAATAATTTTCAGATTTAAAACTTCATCTTCAAGGCACTGATTATGGGACGTTCCTAGCTAATGAGCCCAGCCCTCTTTCCGTTTCAACCATCGATGACAAGCTTCGTGAGAAACTTGTTATTGAATTTCAGCATTTGAGAAACCACTCTGTTGAGCCTCTATCAACATTCTTGGACTTCATCACCTACAGTTACATGATTGACAACATCATCTTGTTGATCACTGGTACATTGCACCAGCGCCCAATCTCGGAGCTAATTCCCAAGTGCCATCCCTTGGGCTCATTCGAGCAAATGGAAGCCATCCATGTAGCAGCCACACCGGCCGAGCTATACAATGCAGTGCTGGTCGACACCCCACTGGCTCCATTTTTTGTTGATTGCATCAGTGAGCAAGACTTGGATGAAATGAACATTGAGATCATTCGTAACACTCTCTACAAAGCTTATTTGGAAGCTTTCTATGACTTCTGCAAACAAATTGGTGGAACTACAGCTGATGTTATGTGTGAAATTTTGGCTGTAAGTAAATATCTGTTTATTAATAAATTCACTATGGTACAGGCTAAATAAAAAAATTCAAGCTGCATGTATCAAAAATTAATTGATTATTAGCTATATTTATGCTAAGGAAATTTAAATCAACAAAATGTTTATTTATTTTAGTTTGAAGCTGACCGCCGTGCAATTATCATTACCATCAACTCCTTTGGTACTGAACTGTCCAAAGATGACCGTGTTAAGTTGTACCCACGCTGTGGAAAACTGAATCCCGATGGTTTGGCTGCTCTGGCCCGTGCAGATGACTATGAACAGGTCAAAGCTGTAGCTGAATACTACGCTGAGTATTCTGCTCTTTTTGAAGGTGCCGGCAATAATGTTGGTGACAAAACATTGGAAGACAAGTTCTTTGAACATGAGGTATGTAATTTTATATATTATATTCATTAATCATTGTACCACCATGTTTTAAGCAAATTGTATGATTTGATTTAAGCTATCAGTCAAATAACAAAGATTACAAAAAAAACTTATTTAATTTTAGGTAAGCCTCAATGTGCATGCTTTCCTGCAACAATTCCACTTCGGTGTGTTCTACTCTTACCTCAAGCTGAAGGAACAAGAATGCAGAAACATTGTATGGATAAGTGAGTGTGTTGCTCAGAAACACCGTGCAAAAATTGACAACTACATTCCAATTTTCTAAACACATTTCTGTGGTAAAAATATTTTGAAACATTTTTAGTTATGACATTAAACCATATGCTGTTAAATTAAAATCAAAAGTATGTAACTTTCAACATTATAGTGATAAAGAATATTATGCATAAATAACAGTTATAATTGTAAATTAAGTTAATTATGAGGTTTAAATAAATAAAAATGTTATCAAATCATGAATGTATAAAAATATTTATTGTTATATTATTATAAATATAAATATTTCATAGCTTGTATTATTTGATAGATTAAACTCTAGTTACAGTATTCTTTTCATGTACCTTTAGGCTTAGTTTAACAATATCTAATAATTTAAACAAAATTCAAACATTAAAAGTTTAAAATTTTATTGTAGGAAATCTTTCAATAAAATGTACATAATTAATTGATGGTCAATGAAACAAACACACCCATGCATGTAATCATGCACACACTAAAATCTTTATACAATATTGTCCAATGATAATATACATTGTCTTATCTTTAGATGAATGATAGAAATAAACCTATTTAAATAATGTTTATTTATTTACTTTATAAACTTACATTAACATATTTGAATCATATTTAACTTTTAGTGCATTCTTGGATACTATTTTTCTTGGCATCCAACTGTTCCTTTATCATTTCTGTGATTGGCCCCTCATAGGGTAAACCTTGTTTTGGAGATTTTAAAAATAATAAAGAGTTTTCCTTCCAAAACCTATCTTTTAACATATCATCATGAGTATCTACTATAAGGTTAATTGATTTACCCATGATTTCATCTGAAATGGTTTTGCGCATCAGCAGAGTACCTCTTTTAAACATTTCTGGTTCACTGTTATAGTTGATTTTGAATTCATTAAAAAGAATCTCGTTTTTATCAGCAGAAACAGTCCCACATAATCTTTTCTCCGCCTGTAAGTAATTTTATTGTTAAAACTGAGTAAAGTAGATTAATCTTAGCTTCATAAGGTTTTATTTACCTGAGATGGTGTTAAATTTCCTTGTAGGACAAGATTCCAAAAAGTTGTGTTGTACAAATTATTTATATGAACATCAGCTTGTCTCCATTTCATGTAGTCTACTAGATTCTCATCTGATGGATATAAAATTACTCTCCCATCAAATGTAGGTGGATATTTTAGTTTCTGTTCACCAAAGAATTTATTCCAATAGAATACATAAGATGAAGAAAATTTACTATTTACTGTTGTCAGTAACTTGGACGCTCTTCGTTTATATAGAGTGGAATGTTTTTTAAACACAAATGAATATTCATCACTTTGTCCAAAAGCTAATAACAAGTCATTAAACTCTTTGAAGACAGTAAAAGCTGCATAATTCATAAGATTTAAACCTCTTAAATCGTTAGGCTTGCTGAAGTTGTGATCATCAGAGAATTTGTGGAAACATTTTCCATCTATCCTTATTACAATCCATGTGTTTGGTAAAAGAGTATCATCTACTTCAAAGGTTTTAACATATTCAAAGGAACTTTTAGCCATCTTTTGAAAATTACTTATAGTAAGGTATTTTAATGTTTTTATAGGCCACGAAATCATTAACGTAGCAATTATTTGAGGTTATATTATTTACGTTTACAGAGCTCTGCTGACAGTGACACTGACAGGACAGTTTAGAAAAAATAAATAGGGATGGGATCGATCATAAGTAAAGTATGTAATCACACATAAAAGTTTGAAGTATCGATTCATGGGTCAAGATAATAACCTTGTATTTAATTTAATCTCAAACACATGCGCGTATATAGCGGGGGGGCCGAAAGGCTGACCGAATTGATGTTGAGGATTCATACAGCGATACAAAGTGCTAGAATAGATTTTCAATGTGATATGGCAAATTGAAGAATTCCTCGAAACTACAAAATGGTAAAATTACAAGCTTAAATATAATTCCATAGTCCGTACGTACGTAGTATACATTAACATTTCATGTAATGAAAGCTTTAATGAGAAAAAAAAACTTATAATATCTTACTTCCTATGCCGCACTCGGCATCTACCTACACAAGGGTAAGAATAAAGTATGTGCAGTTTAGTACGATAACGAGAAGTACGGTGACATGCTAACAAGGATCCTGAGTAAACCAACTTTTAACTATTTACTATTGCCAGGCCTGAGCCCCGATTACGGTAATTTTTAACGTCAACAATCCAGACACGCTTCTCGATTCTGCGATACGATTGGTCGTTCAACAGCGTACGTCAGCTGTTTTGACCAATCGTATCGCAGAATCAGAAACGCGTCTGGATTGTAGACGTTATAAAAGTTACCGTAATCGGGGCTCAGAGCCCCGATTACGGTAACTTTTAACGTTTCCAATCCAGACTAGAGATGGGTTTCCACCCGGGTAAAAACCCACATGAGGGTAAAAACCCAATAAAAACCCGTTTCATTCCACCCGTGGGTGTTTACACCGGGTGAAAACAAATAATTTAAAATTATTTCAATTGGCATCTTTTCTTTATTTTTATTGAATTTTTCTCATTTAAGTTTATTGATTAATATAAGTAATAAGTCAAATTTAACACTAATATGCATTTATATCGTGGCCAAATCGTAAAATTGATCACGTTATGATGATGTAACCAATTATTTTATAAAATGGTGTTATTTCAAGAATCGTTGAACCGATTTAGAAGAAATTTAGTAGGAACGCAATAATTTGTGATCATGGCAAGGACATTAGGGATAGAGACATGCGATTTTTTGTTTTAAAAAGATAATACGATAGAAAATAATACAAAGTAATAAAAACCACCGGTTATAGGGGCATTTTTTGGAGAAATTTATAAAATAACCAAAAAAACACGAATTTTAAAGCAGATTTTTTTCAAAAAGTATCATTTTTTATTATTTATTGGCATTTTTTTTGTATTTTGTGTATTTTTTTAGTATCGCCTGTTATTTAGCATTATTACTGTTTTTATTTTATCAGGATATACCGCTTAGTTTAAAAGTTATTACGTTTTCTTTACAATAAGTAATTTGAAGAAAAAAAATTCTATAAAAAATTAAAAAAAAATCTCAAAAAATTTTTGACCTCTTTTTTGTCGATAAAAATAGGTCTAGTTTCATCTATTTTCATATGTACACTTTAACGTGACTCACACTGTATAATTCCATAGTCCGTACGGCTTTAATGAGAAAAAAAAACTTATAATATCTTACTTCCTATGCCGCACTCCGCATCTACCTACACAAGGGTAAGAATAAAGTATGTGCAGTTTAGTACGATAACGAGAAGTACGGTGACATGCTAACAAGGATCCTGAGTAAACCAACTTTTAACTATTTACTATTGCCAGGCCTGAGCCCCGATTACGGTAACTTTTAACGTTTCCAATCCAGACTAGAGATGGGTTTCCACCCGGGTAAATAAAAACCCACATGAGGATAAAAACCCAATAAAAACCCGTTTCATTCCACCCGTGGGTGTTTACACCGGGTGAAAACAAATAATTTTATAATTATTTCAATTGGCATCTTTTCTTTATTTTTATTGAATTTTTCTCATTTAAGTTTATTGATTAATAAGTAATAAGTCAAATTTAACACTAATATGCATTTATATCGTGGCCAAATCGTAAAATTGATCACGTTATGATGATGTGACCAATTATTTTATAAATTAATAAGAAAATTAATAATGTACAATAACGTCTACCGCTACAAAATTATTTCAATCCACAGTCAGACTAGCTATAAATTTAACAAAATATCAGTTTTATCGGAATTAATTAATTTTCGATTCGAGTCACACGATATCTTTCGATGACTTTGCGAATGCAGTACGATGATACGATTACTTTTACGTTGCGGCAATCACTAAAATTCGCTAAAATGACACTAATGACGTTTAAAAAGTGGCACGCTCGGCTTCATACAATTTTTGACACATGCTGCATCTATCCATATCGGCTGTGAACAACACCAACTACCTACAAAGTACTTCTGCTTAAAAACTTGAAATCGAACCGCCCTTCCGCCACTGTAACGCATTGTAACATTTTTCAAGACCTCCTCCCCCCAGATTGCATTACGTAACACTAGAACGCCCCCTAAGCAACTAATACCACTTCTCACTTTAAAAAAACGCTATTTTTGTTTTCACCCACCAGAATGGGTGATAATGGGTAAAAACCGGGTTTTTACCCAAATCACCCAGTTTTAACCCAATCGGGTGAAACGGGTTTTTACCCACTACCAGCGTTGCCAGTTTTTTTTTTCGCCAAGTCGGGACTTTGTTACTTTTTGAGTGAAAATAGCGGGATTCTTCCGTCAAAAGCGGGACATAGTAAAAAAACGTATACCTATAATCAAAGGTTTTCAAATATTTATCTTTTTATTTGACTTAAAATTACGTTTACGTGACAATAGATAGCAAAAGTAGTCATAGAAAATGTATTTTAACAAAAAAATTACATTTTAAATCAGATTTACTCTATCGTTAAATTCGTCTTTAGAATAAAAAAAGAAAAAAAAAACAAAAATCGAAATTAAAAAAGTTTTATTCTTTAGAATAATATGGCGTTTTAAACAATAGTCTGGTGAAGTAAGTGTCTCTCTCCGAAAAGCGGGACCGAGCCTGTCCCGCGCGGGACATTAAAATTTGATTTAAAAATCGGGACGTCCCGCCAAAATCCGGACGTCTGGCAACGCTGCCCACTACCCATCTCTAATCCAGACGCGCTTCATCGATTCTGCGATACGATTGGTCAAAACAGCTGACGTACGCTGTTGAACGACCAATCGTATCGCAGAATCGAGATTGGTCAGCGTAATGATCAAAACAGCGTATAATACGTCAGCTGTTTTGACCAATCGTATCGATGAAGCGCGTCTGGATTGGAGACGTTAAACATTACCGTAATCGGGGCTCTGTTCATCTCCGCGAGTTTGCATCGAAAACAAACTACCCGTGACTACACCTCCTGTGATATCTAATAGACAGGACAATCACGAGCGAGCATTGACGCACGCACGTGTATTCTTCATCCATTTGCATTGTAAAGACAATAAACTATGTATGTAAAAACGGTGGTGTATTTTAACTGCCTGAATAGTAATAGAAACAAAATATAATTCATGCTTTTTCATGTATTTTCTCCGCCATTTTCCGGTACTTATTATTATTCTGTGCTATTGCATTGAAAATCAAATTCCTTCGTAATCGATTTCATCGCAAATTTCAGCCAGCTAATTACATCACCACATCCCTACTAATGTCAATATTTTTTTTAATACTAGTATGAATCGGGCTTTCGCACAGATAAAGATAGATGCAGCATGTGAAAAAATTTGTATGAAGCCGAGCGTGCCACTTTTTAAACGTCATTAGTGTCATTTTAGCGAATTTTAGTGATTGCCGCAACGTAAAAATAATCGTATCATCGTACTGCATTCGCAAAGTCATCGAAAGATATCGTGTGACTCGATTCGACAATTAATTAATTCCGATAAAACTGATAATTTCTTAAATACAAAACCAAAAACATCTTTATTTACCTTTTTAAATAAATTAATTCTTATAAATCGTCAAATCTCGTTATTTTTTTTACCCTACCAGCATTTCAAGACAAAAATTGGTCAAGTGCATGAATACATGGATCAGTGTGTGTCTTATTGTTATAAAAGTAAGTACGGTTCCTTGTGATCGGTATTAGTGCACCACATACACGGACCATGGTTTTAGCTTTTAGAGTACATCGCAGGATATGTATTAAAAACAATGCTACTTTATACTTCTTCTACTGCTACTTTATTCTAATTAATTATTTGTTACTTGTGCTGTTAATTACAATTCTCAATCCGTAAATAATTTCTTCTTTCTACCGTGTTCGTACTACTGTCCTCGTAAAATCATCGTAACCGATTGTTGTAATCGGAGTACATGAACATCACTCGACCATGTATGTCCATTTGGACATATCGGAATGGCACGCTTTGACGATCAACTTGCTGCATCTACTCTAATNGGGTCTAGTCAAAACGCACTTTAAAATCGCAAACCCATCGCAAACCAGTCGCAAACAAATAAACAAATCGCAAAAGAGGTCGATAACAAAAAAGGCTTAGTCAAACGGCAAAAAATCGAATCGCAAAGCCCTACCTATCGATAATCGAAAGACTGGATTGAAATTTCCCATACAAAGGCTTAGCCAACATGCATTTAAGACTCAATCAAAATCGAATCGAATCGCAACACCCGCCATTTTCATTGCGATTACTAAAACCCCGGTGATAAGCTTGGATTCGATCGAAAACCAATAGGGTGAGTTGCACCACCTAACTTTAAACGTAACTATGACGTTAACCGGTGTTTTTTGTATGGAGTTTGACAGATTTTAGACGTTTGTCAAAGTTAAACTAAGATGGTGCAACCCACCCTAAGGCTGTTTTGACAAATCCGTATCGCGATGTCGTTTTGACAGCTAGTTTGACAGCGAAGCATAGACTTAAACAGAGAGCAGAGCCCCGATTACGGTAACTTTTAACGTCTACAATCCAGACGCGTTTCTGATTCTGCGATACGATTGGTCAAAACAGCTGACGTACGCTGTTGAACGACCAATCGTATCGCAGAATCGAGAAGCGTGTCTGGATTGTTGACGTTAAAAATTACCGTAATCGGGGCTCGGGGCTCAGAAAGAAGGAAGAAACTAATTTAAAAAAAAAAAGCTAGAAAAAGTAAAAACAATCGCAAAGTCATAGACATTTTTTAACTTTTATTCGATTTTGAATGAACTTTTATATCGCCGCGTCGTTGGTGGTTCAATGTGCATTTTGGCTGCCGTTTTCCGATCGAATCGAATGTGTCGGTGACGCGGCGACTGACATTAGTGAAAACTTCACATTGGTTTGCGATGGCATTTTGACTAGACCCACCGGTGCCTGTGGGTCTATTTAGACAAAATGCACTGTTTGATCGAATCGAAATCGTCCAAACTCCATACAAATAAAGGTTTTTCGACTGGTTTGCGATTTTAATGTGCACTTTGTCTAGGTCTAGACCAGTGGTTCTTAACCGGTGGTCCCTGGAGACATTCTAAGTGGTCCACGAAGTGTATTTGCACACCTTGGTTAAAACCACTTTTAACTGATTTTTGCAGTCAAACTGGTTTTGACCGATTATGAGGTGGTCCCTGACAAGACAGAAATTTGGTAAAATGGTCCCTCATGACTTAAAGGTTAAGAACCAATGGTCTAAACCCACTGTGCAGCCAAAGCTCCATTTTCTTTTTACTAAGTTTTTTAATAAGCAGAGATGTGTGAGTGAGGCGATACGTATTCACGGAGTTCCGATTTCGTAATCGCTCTAGTTCACTATCCCGATTTTAAATTCCTTCGTGCCCATATTCGTGGGTAGGTCGTAGGTATCATTTGTGTCGTTGTATTCAAATATGATGGGATGAGGGGAACGCTTCCGCTATTACAGGAAGTAGCATAACATGTCCTACCAATAAAAATGCGAATTAAGCGAAAGTTTGCAAGGATGTACCTAGTTTGAGATACTCTTTCACGCAAAAAGGATTTTAATGAAACTACAATAATATTGTTGGCTTATTCCACTATTCCCCGTTGACAATTGTCGGCCGTTTGGTGTAGTGGTTCGAAACGGACAACTATTCCGGAGGTAGCAGGTTCGATTCCCGCACAGTACAAACATTTGTGTGCATGAACATATTTGTTTGTATTGGACTGGGTGTTTTCTATGTATAATAAGTATGTATTTACAAAAAAAAAAGTATTTAAGTATGTTTATATCCATTGTCTAGTACCCATAGTACAAGCTTTGCTTAGTTTGGGACTATTTAAAAAAAAAAAAAAAATTCCCGTGAATGGATAAAACTACAATAATATTGTTGGCTTATTCCACTATTCCCCGTTGACAATTCCCGTAAACGGGGATTAGTGAACTTTTTGTTGTTTTTGTTCACTATTCCCCGCTAACGCCAAATTGGAGCTATAATGGGGATTACTTTAAAAAATAAAATCCTAATATAATGGGGATTAATGAACTTTTTAGTTCTTAGTGGGTCTTCATTGTATGTAAAAATGTAATGTAGCTTCCCTTTTTGTTCTAATGTATGGGGTAGGCATATTAAAATTGATTAAAATTTTAATAGGTTAGACTTTATTAATTAATCTTAGGTACATTTTAAATATTTAAAAGTAATCTAAAAAACATTAATTTAACAATTTCATCACTTCATCTGGGGTTCTACGCACCACAGATTGTGGTTCTGTATATCCATTTATGGGATTATGGACAGCCTGGTAGAGCTGAGCATAAACTGCTAATATCACCTCAAACGATCTTTTCTTGACTGTTGATTTATGTGTATGACTTAATAACAAATTCAACTGAGGCAATATATAAACATCAGGGGAAACAAGAAACATATCAAATTTGTTAAGAAATGTTTTTAAGGTTGCTGTGTCCATACCTGGAATGGCTGACAAAGGTCCACTAGATTTTTCTTGCAAAATTGTATAAATGGGCCCAAGATTCAAGTTTGCCACTAGAAAACTGGCTTGTTCTGATGTCAAAGTATCAAGTTGTGCTTCCGATTGTGCTTGTAGTCGTTCATTGTATTCATCCATAACTGTGTAAAGAGACAATGTGCACTGAATATGGTATATGCAGTTCAGCATATAAACTGACATATCTGTTGAGCTGAGGTGGCATGCAGTTTCATTTATTGCATGCAATAAAGGATCCAAGATGTGGGTGATTATGATCTTCTTATCATCTTTATTTATATTGTTTGATGCATTCATAACAGCTAGTACATCTCGCAAAAAACCAACCAAGTCAGTGACTACAATTGATGGATTCAAATCAATTGGAGGTGCTTTCACTCCGTGACTAAGTTCCTTTTGTATTTTACTGTCCAAGGTTATTATAAATACCTCTTCACTTTTTTTAAGCAAATCTTCAAATGTATCAATCAGATGACCCTCTGGAATGACACTTTGTATGACATCTTTGTAATACAATATCATATTTGTTATAGACCACAACACCAGAGGGTCTTTATCAGGCTTGAGAATTAGTTCAGCTCTTACTTTCAATAATGGGCAGATCGCTTCCATGATACTAGTTATAGCTTCTGTAATCTGGGTATTTTTCTCTGGGATATTGCAGTATTTGTAAAGGTTATTTAGATTTTCCTTTTCAATAGGAATAATTTGATAAACCCATGTCAAGATATCACCAATGTAACGTTTGGGATCATTTGCATAGAATTCAATGGGTTTGGAGCCATCCATACCCTTCGTCAAGGCATCAATAAATGCCTGCACAGTTGTAGCCTTCCTTGCAGAACAGTACTCATCAACAATATTAGAAAACAAAACTTGTCTGTTTTGAAACTTTGCCAGAGCTTTGGGCACTAGGGCATTATTTGGTGAATCAATACTTAAGCAAGCACCAATAGTCCAATGATATAATTTTTCAATGGCAACTTCTTGTTGTAATCCTATGATTTCCATTATGTCAAATGCAGAAGTTTGATACCAACATCGTACAAGTGTTTTACAATTTTCATTTAACTTTTCTATATGACTCAGAGTAGAAAAAAAATCAGATGTCAATGGTGTCCTAATAGAAACATTATAAAGATATTCATTTTGCTCAGGAGATATTTGGAAGTTATTTAATAGGGCGTCAACCCAAACAATTTTTTTCTCTGTTTTCTTCCTTTCATCCTTGAGTTTAGTTGTTTGAGTTATTAGATGATGAGTTTTGGTCTTGGACTCTTGCAGTCTATTTGACATGTCTATGACTGCAGCATCAAGATTAGCCAGAGAATCTAATAAAATGTGTAGTTTACCTTTGACTTTATTGAATTCAATAAGAACTGCCTTATTCACCAAAACATCTCTTTTCTCGATTTCGTTAACCAATACTCTTCTTGTGTATGACGAATTTGCGGTGCATAACCCAGACATTGTGTTCAAAGCATCGCTGTTATCTGTTATCAAATGTGTATCAAATATCTTGTTTAATCTTTGTCGAATCGGATTATTGTACATGGAATCCATTTCGAAGCCCAAACAATCTTCTCAATCAATTTATTCTTGTTTGTATGAATAAAATCATTAATCTCTCTCAATTTTCTGTTAACACAAGACCGACCACAACCACAGACCACAACTTTATTAAAATTGTATTACTTTTCTCTATGATTAAAATTTTATTTAAACTGTCACTGTCACTCAATCAGCTGGCTGTCAGACACGTCAGCGTTTTCTTTTTACGTAGGTAGGTATTTATGTAGGGATAATTCATCAAGATAATCTTGAAAATAGTAGAAAATAATTACCTTTTTAAAAAAATAAAACCGACTTCAAATGCGTGAACACAAAAAAACTAAAAATTAAAAATATTGCGTATAAAAAAGTTCATCCCCAATTTTCCACCCTTAGGGGTGAAATATTTTCTTCAAATTCGCATGAAACCACCCTTTTGATAATACCTATTCAACAAAAAAATAATCGTTCAAATTGATTTATAATCGGCGGAGATATTGCGTATAAAAAAGTTCATCCCCAATTTTCCACCCTTGGGGGTTGTTTTTTCTATTATTAAATGACATTGGGAACTTTTTGCAGAGAGCAGAAATTCTGCTCTCTGACTTTTTGCCCCACTTTTCGAAAAGTAGCGGACACAAACGAAACCTATCACAGATGATACATACTAATATCCAATGAATTTCCGTGCATTTTTTTTTCTCTCTTTTATGGGAATATTGAGAAAATGAAGTTTTAATATTTTATTTTATTTTACATTTAGGTAACATTTTTGACGACCTCGGTGGCGGAGAGGCGCACACACCGGTTTTCAAGGTGTGCCGGGCCAATCCTGAAGTCACGGGTTCGATTCCCGGCCGGGACAATATAGAAAACGATCTTTTCACATTGTCTCTGGTTTGGGTGTGTTGTGGTTCGTCGTTCCCGATTTCAAATCCTCCCGATNTTAACACACCAAGACCACAACTTTATTAAAATTTTATTTAAACTGTCACTGTCACTCAATCAGCTGGCTGTCAGACACGTCAGCGTTTTCTTTTTACGTAGGTAGGTATTTATGTAGGGATAATTCATCAAGATAGTCTTGAAAATAGTAGAAAATTATATACATTTCCTGAATATCAAAGTACATACAGGTAGTCAGCGAAGAACTAAATAAGACTTGATGTGCTGTCGTCCGTCCGTACAATTTTCGTAAGTCAAAAAAGCTGTCCCAGCAACATGCAAGACGCAAAAAATCAATAAAAAAAAGAAACTGTCAAGTAGTCTGGATCGCTAAAAAATAAAATAACCTGAAAGTCGTTTACTTTTATCTTATACCTGGAAAAATTGTAATAATTTAGTATAATAACTGTATTAATTATGGGATCACGACAAATAATAGAAAAATCCCTGTCTATGTTGAGATCTTTACCAAGAATATCACTAGCCAACTTAAGGGATAATCCTAACCCCAAAAAAAGTGTAAGTAATTCATTTTTAATATTAAAATATTCATCATCATCATCATTTCAGCCACAGAACGTCCACTGCTGAACATAGGCCTCCCCCAATGACTTCCACATCGCACGGTTGGTAGCGGTCTGCAATTAATATATTGTTTAATCGTTATTTCATACATCATACCTGGCTTTATTTCATACAATATATAAAATTATTTCAAAAAAGTTACACTTTCTAATTAAAGAAGTAAAATATTCAATAGATTCAAGTATAGATTGATCTTTGTTAATCACTGGAATAAGCAAAACAACTTTTTGCACTGCTTTTTATATCCTTAGAGCAAAAGAGGACGAGCTCAACATGGTGGTGATAAACATGGATCTGGAAACAAAGGATCAGGGCAAAGACAAAATTACATGAGGCTTGGCTATGAAACTGGGAACAATCCATTTTACCTAAGGGTCCCCCAAGAACACTATTATCGTGGACACCAGTAAGTAGACTAACTTCTAATCTGTAGATTTACAATTGTCATTTAAAAAATCACTAAAATTATAATTTTGTTTCAGCCTCAAAAGACAGTATCCACCATTATCATTGCTTCAACTTCAACATATAATTGATAAAGATCGTGTAAACATACATAAACCTATAGATATTGCAAGTATTGTAAAAAGTGGCATTTACGATTTCTACCCAGATCAAAAGCATTTTGGTATACACCTGACGGATGAAGGAGCCGATATATTTGCAGAAAAAATTAATATAGAAGTTCAATGGGCAAGTGAACAAGTGATTGCAGCCATTGAAAGGAATGGAGGTACAATAACCACAGCCTATTATGATCCACACAGTTTATTTTTACTAAAGAATCCAAAGAAATTCTTTGAGTCCGGACAAGCTATTCCACGCCGAATGATTCCCCCACCAGATGCCATTGAATACTATACAAATGCTGAAACACGGGGATATCTGGCTGACCCTGAAAAGGTGTCTCAAGAGAGATTGAAGTTAGCTCAAAAATATGGCTACCAATTACCTAACTTGGAATCAGACCCTGAGTACAATATGCTTTGTGAACGAAAAGATCCGAGGCAAATTTTCTTTGGTTTAGAACCAGGATGGGTCATTAATTTGAAAGATAAGTTAATACTTAAACCAAAAGATGAAGAATTATTAGAATTTTATTCTAATTAATCAATTTAAATATAACATTGTAAAGAAATTGTAATAGAATGTGAGTATGAAAAATAATAGTTGTTTTTTATTGCCATGTTCATCAATGAAAACTATGTATTTAATTTATAAAATAACTTCGAAGAAGTGTGTACTAGTATTTATTCTCTGTGTTAGCCTACTACTTCAACTCTACTCTCTTCTCTACAATGTACAATTNACAATGTATCATTACATTTCTATTATATTTATGCACAATAAATTATTTGATTTGATTTTGATTTGAAACTAGCTTTCCGCCCGCGGCTTCGCACGCGTGAAATTTCGTTTGTCACAGATCGTCATAAATTATAGCCTATATGTTATTCTGGATTATGAACAATAATCCTGTAAAGTTTCATCAAAATCCGTTCAGTGGTTTTTGAGCCTATTCATTACAAACATACAAAAATAGGTACAAATCTTTCCTCTTTATAATATTAGTATAGATAGATTTATAATATTAGTATAGATATAGATGATAGGGACAAAATCTACTTCAGGTTTATTTATCGATAGGTTTTGTACTCAGTAGTATCCTGTAGAAAAATAAATAAATATTAATCCTTTATACAGTGTGAGTCACGTTAAAAGTGTACATATGAAAATAGATAAAACTAGACCTATTTTTATCGACAAAAAAGAGGTCAAAAAATTTTGGAGAATTTAAAAAAAAAATTGCAGAATTTTTTTTCTTCAAATTACTTATTGTAAAGAAAACGTAATAACTTTTAAACTAAGCGGTATATCCTGATAAAATAAAAACAGTAATAATGCTAAATAACAGGCGATACTAAAAAAATACATAAAATACACATAAAAGGCCAACAAATAATAAAAAATGATACTTTTTGAAAAAAATCTGCTTTTAAATTCGTGTTTTTTTTGTTATTTGATAAATTTCTCCAAAAAATGCCCCTATAACCGGTAGTTTTTACTACTTTGTATTATTCTCTATCGTATTACCTTCGTAAAACCAAAAATCACATGTCTCTATCTCTATCACAACATTTGAAATGATCGTTTGAACTAAGCCTCTCTGGGCGCGCTATTCAACGCTTCGTTAACAACGAAACTGAAAATGGCTCTAGATTTGTAATTTTGATAAAAACAAGTTAAATTTCAAATAAAAACAAAAGATTTCGAAGTAAAATAAGTATTTTAGTTAAAATTAAAATTTTCTCTACTTGTAGCGGAGAATAATGTTGTGGCAGGCCTTGGTTCAAACGCTCATAGCAAATGTTGTGATAGGGATAGAGACATGCGATTTTTGGTTTTACAAAGATAATACGATAGAGAATAATACAAAGTAATAAAAACCACTGTTATAGGAACATTTTTTGGAGAAATTTATCAAATAACCAAAAAAACACGAATTTATAAGCAGACTTTTTTCAAAAAGTATCATTTTTTATTATTTGTTGGCCTTTTTTGTGTACCTATTTTATGTATTTTTTTTAGTATCGCCTGTTATTGAGCATTATTACTGTTTTTATTTTATCAGGATATACCGCTTAGTTTAAAAGTTATTACGTTTTCGTTACAATAAGTAATAGGAAGAAAAAAAAATTCTATAAAAAATTAAAAAAAAATCTCCAAAAAATTTTGACCTCTTTTTTGTCGATAAAAATAGGTCTAGTTTCATCTATTTTCATATGTAAACTTTAACGTGACTCACACTGTATAACAAAGATTACAATTAGTATTGCTAGTGGTCCCCAAACTAGGTTACACTCGTCTCTTGGGCACTTTATACTAGTAACAAAAAAAAACACAATTTAAGTTTGAAAAGCTACCTGTGCTGTGCCATAGTAAACACAAAAAAAAAGGAAAATACAAATAATATGCCCAATAAAGAATGTCTTTACGTTATGTGTAAGAGTGTGTGGTAGGTTGTTTTATGAGAATTGAATGTATTATTTATGTGTGCGATATTACCGTGACCATGTACTACATAAAATAATATCATCTTCTTCTATAATATCTTCATATCGTCAAAAATAGTTGTAATTAGGTAGTAGTAGGTGTAGGTAGAATTACCTAGCGAACACTGTTTATAAAAATAAGAAATTAGAGTACAAAATCTTGTTTTGGTGATGAAATGATACTACAGACAAAGTATCTAGGTATTCTTTTATAATTTTTAAGTCAATTTTGTGTCTAGGGAGATCTTAAAAAAGAAAAAACAAGTCAAATTCGTAAGTACCTTTATTTATTACTTGAGAAAGGCAAATATGCTTTTACTTAATCCACATAAATAATGTAGAAAATTTAGTTACATAAAGATAGCACTTTTTTGGTATGTTTGTTTTTGATGCATCAACAAACTGAAAATTCTTTCGATTAATATCTATAGTGATCAGGCTTGTATGGTCCTTCCACAGGAACGCCGATGTATTTAGCTTGCTTGGGTGTAAGTTTGGTTAATTTAACACCAAGATGGTCCAGATGTAAAGCTGCAACCTCTTCATCTAATTTCTTGGGCAATGTGTGAACACCAACTGGGTATGCATTGTGTCGCGTCCAAAGCTCAATCTGGGCAAGGACTTGGTTGGTGAAGGAGTTGGACATAACGAAGGATGAGTGGCCGGTAGCGCAACCCAAGTTTACAAGCCTACCAGCAGCCAGAACAATAATGTGCTTGCCATTTTCGAGTTCATAACGGTCTACTTGAGGCTTGAGATTAACTTTTTTCGCATTCTTGTCCAACCAAGCCACATCAATTTCACAATCAAAGTGACCAATGTTACAAACAATAACATCATCTTGCATTCTCAATAAGTGCTCCTTGCAAATAATGTCAATGTTTCCAGTTGTTGTAACAAATATTTGTCCAATTTCAGCTGCTTCTTCCATGGTTGTAACTTGGAATCCCTCCATTGCTGCTTGCAAAGCGTTAATGGGATCTATTTCGGTGACGATCACTCTCCCGCCGAATCCTTTGAATGCCTGAGCACAGCCCTTGCCTACGTCGCCATAACCAGCAACGACGCAGACTTTTCCTGCTATCATTATGTCTGTAGCCCTCTTTATACCATCAAGTAGAGACTCCCTACATCCATATAAATTGTCAAATTTGCTTTTCGTTACGGCATCATTGACATTGATTGCTGGAACTTTCAATGTTCCTTCTTTAAACATTTTATAAAGATTGTGTACACCTGTAGTGGTTTCTTCAGATAGGCCTTTGATACCTTCCAACAGTTGTGGGTATTTCTTATGTACAAGATTAGTCAGATCTCCTCCATCATCCAGAATCATGTTGAGTGGCTGAAAACATAAATATAAAATTAAAGACACTTAGATTTTTATTTATTTTTCGATTGTGGGTCTTCATTAAGTTTTTAACCAAATTCTACAATGTTAGATTAAATTAGACTTAAACAAAATTTTCAAAATATTTATCATCTTGAGTTTAGTAGATAACGTTAAATACAATTATTTTCTATTAGCTTAAGTATGAACAAATTACAATAGTAATTATTATCCTCTTAGCTAAGATTTTTCCTTAGGTATTTCTAGGCAACATTTTCCTGATGACTCATGACGTGGGGACAATTTGTAATGACAAATAAACCATAATCTCAATGTATGCGTCATGAGTGGGAAACATTTCACTATAGTTATATTGTCTGCATTCGTATTAATGGTTAATTAACGATAAAGTACTAACTTTATTGTTCGAAAACTTTAAAATACTGCAAGCACCCTTAACTCGAACCAACTATCGCAAAAATTCGTTTGTAATTAGAGGTCTTAATCGATTTAATTCTGTTTGTGATGACATAGAACTGGACTTATTCAATACCCCTGTCAACCAGTTTAAATAATCTTTTCTTTGTTAAATAGTAGCTTGAATTTCATAAACTATTAACTATATTTTCTGTCCGTGATCAAATTAATTGTCTAACTATAGGTGGCGTGGAAACTTGGAAGTAATTGGCTTTACTTTAATTATAAATATCACCTAATGTAACATTTAGCTGTAAGTTTTCCTAAGAAATGCAAAATAAAATAGTTAATATTTGAGTAAATTGAAGTGCTAACTTACTCTTCCATCAGAAAACATTAAAGTCTGCTCAATGCACCAAATGTATTCCTCTTCAGTTTCGCCCTTCCAGGCATAAATGGGAATTCCTACCGCTACCAAGGCCGCTGCAGCTTCGTCTTGAGTGCTGTATATGTTACTGCTTGACCATTGAACCTGTAATCAACCAATAGGAATTCTATATATTTATTTCGCTCGCTAACGTAATTTTCTATTGTCTCAGCTTGAAAAAAAATTGCTGGTGAAAAACTTGGTGGGATACCACCACACAAACATGTACCTAGTCGCGTGGCGAACTTAGGGCGGTTCGGGGTTATGCTTGCCAAAATAAAATAATAACTACTGTCGCAAAAGTTGGAAACAAATCAATTCATATAACATAGATGGAATTTAACCACGACATTAAGTAGGTACGCAATAGTGAACTTGGATTGGTCCAAGAAAATTCTGTAGCGAATCCTTAAAAATATTGAAAACTACGCTGCAGAAACATAAGAATGTTAGGTGTTTTACTGCTGTAATAATAGATTGATAAGATTATATTCGGTCCGAGCTGTTTCAGATTTCAGAAAACTAAACATGTCGTATTTTTATTCTCAAGGATGAATGAGACTGTACTACTGAAATTGAAAACACCGAATTACTGTACCTAATTGTTTACGATAAGAGTAAGATTTAAGTTAGAAAATAAGCAATGAGAGAATTACCTAATCACGAATGTTCATCATACGGATGCCATGGAAAATAGAAAGATAGCAATGATAAATTAAGTTTTGATCCGAATTCCGAATGACGAATTAAGTAGATCGAACGTTAACGATGGCGTCGATCAGAAACTAAGTGCGTCGCTAAGAATGGTACTAGTCTAAAAAGTTCTTAGTGTCTATCTAAATACCCTATCTATCACGGGATAGATAGGGTATTTAGATAGACGCTCTGTATCATATTCGATCGGATTTATTTGTCTTGTTTTATCTCAAGATTTTTAACTAGATAACTATAGCTTTATAATCTTTTTTCCCTACAAAAATTCAAGATTTCGTTTCAGAGAATAACTATGCGACAGTTTATCAACGTATTATTGTTCCAAATCTGTCACGAAGATTGTATATTGATACATTCTAATTTGCTTGCGTCATATATTAGTTTTGTACCAGATTTAAATATAAATAAGTAGGTACTCGTCTATACTATATACCTACTATCTATACTAATATTATAAAGCTGAAGAGATTGTTTGTTTGTTTGGTTGAACGCGCTAATCTCAGGAACTACTCAACCGATTTGAAAAATTATTTTTGTGTTGGATAGCCTGTTAGTTCCTGAAGGTTTTAGGCTATACAGGGTGTTAGGTAAATGGGTATATGATCCGACACTAGCCCATGTTAACATGGGCATATAAATGGTATGGTGAAGTCAGAAATTTGATATCATCATTTAATTTTTTTAAATTTTCATACAAAATAAATTTTACAAAATCCGGATTTTATGAAAATAAAAATAATTAAAATGAAGATATCAATTTTCTGACTTCACCATACCATTTATATGCCCATTTTAACATGGGCTAGTGTCGGCTCATATACCCATTTACCTAACACCCTGTATATCATCACGCTAAGACCAATAGGAGCGAAGCATCAATGAGGAATGTTTCAAATCAGTGACTTTTTTCCTGTTATGCTATTATTTATGTTAAAGTTTCGCAAAAATCATGTATGACAGGATTGTTCCCCTTTAAAAGTTCTAAAAAAAAGTCCGCGATAGCATTATGTCTATCTTTTAAGGTTGGCTCATAGTAACTTTTTTTATGCAAAAAAAAATCTGTTTTAAAATAATGCGATAAAGGAGGTAAAGGGGGGGGGGGGGGCAAAGTTTGTATGAAATAACGAGATTCCTTCGTCCAATCTACTTAAAATGTTGCATAAGCATTCTATAACAGAATTAATGGAAGATGTGTTTCGTATTTTAGTGAAATGTTGATATTAATTACCAGGGTGTCCACATTCTGGAAAGTCAGGGAAAAGTCAGGGAAGCTCATAGCAGTCAGGGAAAGTCAGTGAAATAGAGGGGTCACCTGGAAAGTCAGGGAAACATTGAGATTTTGTCTACCAAAACACTGTTTGTCTCCCGAAATTTCCCAGTGATTGTAAAATGAGGGATTTAATTAATTTATGCTCTAGAAAGACCTTTGATCTTGACTATCGAAGCAATTTTTTTTCAGGTTTGGAGTGATCTACATTATGACTTTGTTTTTAGTCATAATTATATTACTCCTTTTTAGTTTTTTTTCTAATGAAGTGGATTGATCTAAATTATGACACAATCCCAATCCCAACTATCCCAACTAATATTATAAATGCGAAAGTAACTCTGTCTGTCTGTCTGTCTGTCTGTTACGCTTTCCCGCTTAAACCTCGCAACCGATTTTGATGAAATTTGGCATAGAGATAGTTTGAGTCCCGGGAAAGAACATAGGATAGTTTTTATCCCGGTTTTTGAAACAGGGACGCGCGCGATAAAGTTTTTCTGTGACAGACAAAATTCCACGCGGGCGAAGCCGCGGGCGGAAAGCTAGTTTTGTTCATAATTAGATTACTTTCATATAGTTTTTTTTTCAGGATTAGAGTGATAGATTAATAGACTGTTATGATTTTTTTTGTCATAACTAGATTACTCCTTTTTGTTTTAATAGTTGTACGTTTTTGTTTCAGTAAAATGATATATTTTATATTGTCGATGTGAAAGTGCAACTTATAACTTATGTTTATTTATATTTTTTTTATAATTATTTATTGATTTGATTATTGAGTGCAGACTAGTGAGCAGTTCACTGCGAGTGCTATTAANGTTCATCCTTTTTTTTACAAAACGATGAGTCAAAGTGGTGTGAAAGTAAAAATCGTTCAAAATTTTAAGGAAATAAAATATTTTGATTAACTTTTGTGTAAAAACTGCAAGTATTCTGGGGGTTTTAAGAGTTGGGGTGAACAGCAGCACTACTTAAGTTGCCGATATAAACAGAAAACCAGGAATAATTGAAAAATTGTGGTCGTGGTAATGTAAAATATCATAAGGGGTGTCAATTTTCGTTGAATTTCATAATTTATTGTGTAAGTTAAAAAATAATTGAGATAGATTTTTTTCCTTATTTTTCCTAAAGTAATCATGACTATGTCCATCCTGTGGCGTCGGCTTATCCTTGAATTTTGGGACACGTTGTATACATAGTTGGTCAGGGAATTTTGAGAAAATTGTCAGGGAAAGTCAGGGAAAAGTCAGGGAATTTTTTCGAACATTTGCAGTGGACACCCTGATTACTCATTAGTGCATTTTTTTTACAATGTCATGTAAGACTATCATACCTACTCTAGGGGCCTCCACTTAACCTTGGAGCGGGTGCCCGCTGCGTGCGCTCGCCTAACAATGCAAGGTAATGCATGACAGTCATGCCGCTGGCACCTGCTTGCGCTGTATACATAAACTCATTTTCGCGCGAAAGTTTTGGCGGAAGCCCTTGAGGTAGTGGGAGTAGTCTTGAGGAAAAGCTCCTTCTCCCGCGGCCAGTGGCATGCTGGAAGCTTGGTGAGTCTAGCACCCGTAGGAATATAAAAAAAGTTTACCAATAATACTGCGGTAGGGGTAGTTTTCGATTTCTTTGTAAAAAGATAATAACCACAGAGTAACTTTCACCGGATCAAAGGCCGAGCTGCATATTCATAAAAAAAAATATTTTCATGTTTATTTAACCTTTAAGATTTTTATATTTTATAAGTATTAACACATTTAGATAATAACGTTAAAACATTTAAAAATCGTATGAGAACGTTTTCGACTTCTCCGCGGACGAAGTCGCTGGCAAAAGCTATTTGTAAAATAATTAGACTAAATTATTAAAAGTGCCTACGAAAAGTCATTATTCCACGCGGACGAAGTCGCGGGCACAGCTAGTAATATTATAAAGCTGAAGTGTTTGTTTGTTTGTTTACTTGAACGCGCTAATCTCCGGAACTACTGGTCCGATTTGAAAAATTCTTTCAGTGTTAGCCCATTTATCGAGGAAGGCTATAGGCTATACAACATCACGCTACGATCAATAGGAGCAAAGCAATAATGAAAAATGTTGCGAAAACGGGTTTTCACGCGTACGAAGTCGCGGGCACAGCTAGTATATTTATAAAAATGAAGTGCAATTATTATGAACAACTTTGATTTGTTTTAATAGACGATTTGCATGGGCATCAGGAATCAGGATGACACAAAACGGATTAATTCTACTGCTCAAATGCAACAAGAGAAGTTAAAATAAATAAAAATACTGACCTTTCCATACAAATTGTCATTAGCAATTTCGATATTGGTTTTATNTGTTTGAACGTCTACCAAAGAATCGCCCTGTGTATTATCGCAGCCTGATTATTTAGCTGCCATACAAACATCATTGCTTCCGCTGTTTATCACGAGACAGATCTTGAAGATTTGAATAATGCCGCTTCATTGCAAAACCGTAACATTGTCATAATGATAAGATTGTTAAGTGATTCTGAGACTGCTAGTTTTCTGTGACTACTGACTACCCAGTTCGGAATGTAAGAGGAAATTATACTCAGTTGGATTGCAAATTGCAAGTTACTGTATCCATCAGCTTTGTAAAATTTTGATCTGCCAGAAGCTTTTGACCTACAGGTCAGGGGCGTAATATACTAACGGGCGGTAACAGAATACGGTCAAGTTTATGACTTTACAAAAAAAACCTAATCGGCAAGCGATAGCAGCGTCAATAGAAAATGGTATCAGAATTCAAGATTATTTCATAATATTGAATCATAATAATTATTATTATAATTGATAACCCAAAGGTCATATGTGAAGAAGTAAATAAATATGTTTATCAGCCGATAGTTTTTGCTCGCGGCTACAACAATCGCGTGTTCTAGATATACCTAACTAAGTTACATTATTGTAGGATAATGTAACAACTTTATCTTGGTATCTAGCATACCATGCGATGAATAAGATATAGGTATGGTGTCCTTGATAATAAAGTTGTTAGTTAGTTTATAGTTGTAATGACGCAACAAAATTTCATTTACGTAATTTATTACCAATATACAGGGTGTCCCGTAAAGAGCGTGGCAAACTTAAGATGGTAGTCTAATGGATGGCCATTTTTAATTTTTTTTTTTTAAATGTCACCATTTCAGATACGAGTTCTTTTTACCCTCAATTTTGAGCCTTCTCATGTTGCTGTGTGTACAAATGAGCAGATATTTCTCATATTCTTCTTATTCATCTCGAAAATTATTTGCCATTTATACACAGAGCAACAAGAGGTAGGCTCAAAATTGGGGATTTTAAAAAACATTCATAGAAAACATATTATCTTTGAAATGGTGATACTTTTTCTTTGTATCAATGATCATCCATTAGTCTATTATCTCCAGCACGCTCTTTACCGGACACTCTGTATAAATAGGTCAGTTCAGAAGACTATCAATATTTTGTAAATACAAAATAGATGATTTTGATTGATGACAAAAATATTTTTGTATCATTTAAATCTGTATCATGTACTTAGTGACCTGACGAGCAGAAGTGTATCATTAATATTATTAAACGCACAAGCCCCGATAGACTAGAAGATAAAGAATCCAACATAAAGAAAGACTCATCACCCAACTCTAGAAATAATAAAACAGGATAGACTTTTATTAAACTAGGTGCGTATTTTGTGCATTAGGCTCGTTAAAAAAACAAGAGTACTAGAGGAGATACAGGGCTACTTACTTCCTATAATGACGGTAGACAGGTTTTTTAACGAAAATTCGTAATTTCGTATAAGAAAATAATGAATTCTGCATGGAACGAGCGAAAGATATGTCAGAAAATAAGGAATTTATTGTGTAGTTTATAGTTATCCTATTTATACAAGAATTTACCAAGTGTTATACCATTTTGGAATCCTTACTAAATGCGCCAAATTATGACGTCACTTGCCACACTCGCGTAGTACAATTTTTTTTCAGTACAGACAGTTTAAACTAGGCAAAATTTTTATTTTGAAAATTTTTTTGGGAAAAATGTATTTTTTTCATCCAAGCTGGAGCAGCTGGTTTTGTAATTTTGATAACAATTTAGAGAAGCATTATTCAGGGTTACATAACAAAAAAAAAATTTGGAAAAAGTGAAGATTTGTGGCAACACGAGTAAAAAGACCGTCACCTGGAGTAGAAATTTTTGATTTTTTTTAAATGCCCATTATTTTGAAAATATGACACAGATTTTTTTTTATATTTTTCTAATAACCAGCATAACTTGCCTCAACACCCAGTTCCGGCTTGACGTTACATTACGGGACACCCTGTATATCATCAAAACCGGCTTGATATATATCGGATATATATCCGATATATATCTTGATATATATCCCTTGATATATATCCTCGAACCCTGTTATTTATACTCAGTTTGTTTTCTCATATAAAGTTACAATTCTGATAATAATACATATTGTGTGCAAGCCAGAATATAGTTTTAATTTTTCATGTCTTGTTTGTCCGAAAGTTTACAACAATGATAAAAATAATCAAAGCTACTAAGTTTTTTAAATACATCATGTATTCAATAATTAATTACCTACATTCAGGTTCAGGTGCCAACCCATGCTACGCCGCCGCAGTAATTTTTTTGGATCCTACTTTTACTACTGTCTGTTTCTGTACTGATCTGATTTATTATGCATCATTGAGTCATGAGTTCATTATTATAAATTTCAGTGTTATAACTATATCTAAAATAACAGAAGGAAAGATCATACGATTTTGAATGTGATCCATCATTGAATAGATGAATTCCATTATGACCCAAAAAAATTTTCAGTAAAGTATCAATGTCAAGGAGAAAACAATATTGCATCATAATTATGCAATATTATAAGACATTCTTAATAATTACTCCATCAATATAATCATACTCATCTAACAAATAGCTTTATGTAAAAATAAAAATACTCACTTCAGCACCCAGTTCTATTAGTGTTTCAATGAGGACTGCTGTTTGGACAGTCATGTGCAAGCTACCGGCTATTCTAGCTCCCTTTAGAATTTTGCTTGGTGCATATTTGCGACGGCACGCCATCAGACCAGGCATTTCTTTTTCTGCCATCATGATTTCATTACGGCCAAGCTCTGCCAATTTTTCATCAGCTGAAATAATATACATTTCCTTTAGGTATAGACACAAGCTTATTTATTGAAAAAAAAAAAACACTAAGGAAAGATTTATTGCATGAGACACCCAAGTATGTAGCTCATAATATATTTATTCTAGTAATTACTGCAACACATAGATTGCAATCGCCAGTAATGAATCAGATTCTGAGTTACGGAAAAATAAGCCTAAGCAATAAATTTAATCAGTCAATCAAGAATGAACATAATTCCTTATCATTAAAATAGTAATCTGGGTTGTAATTGATATAATATACATAATATTACTAGCTACTTTGATTAAATCTGATGTAATAATACCTGTAAAGTGAAGGACTGATTTCAGTAATAAACAGAATAATGTGAATTCTGTCGTGTTATTTTTAGAAACAGAATACATAGGTAATAACACATGGTTATAACCTATAAACATGTAGTTAATTTATAGCAATATTCGTTTCTAATAATATCATATCGCACAGTATCCAATTAAAATTGTGCTCTTTATGCGAAGATGGAATATAAAGAGTATTTGTATGAAAAATCTATTCACTTACCGATTTTGTATGGTGGCTTCATGGTAATATTTACTGGCAGGTACTGTTGATGAATTAAAAACGTATGTGTTTCTCTAAAAAATAAAACGAGTTATTAGTCAATTATGTATTGGGAGTAAAATCACTAAAAAGATAATAAAATCCGGAACATACAAAGAAACACAAGTCGACAGCTGTGCCGCAAAAGAAAGAATGACAGATGAATGATAGAGTGACGACAGCTGACAGACAGGTTGTTAAAATAGTTCGTTCACTATATGAGCATTCGTTCGTTCACTCCAATCGATTCCACAGATACATACTCTTTAATCTGTGCCACAGATGAGTATGATCGATTCTCCCACCAGCTAGCTGCTGAGCGCAGCCCTATGAAGTGCCGCCCACGGGTAGGTACAGTCGAGTTCATAAATATATTGGCAGTGTCAACGTTTCAAAGTATCGTGTTAGCGTTTTAACGATCATTCAATTCATACTAACTCAAACATCAATAAAATGTAATTATATAAACCGTGCCGACTGCGCTACAATAATTATTTTGATACATTGAGCATTGCCGATATATTTATAAACTCGACTGTACCTACCAAGCGCCAAGGATTGCGAGTCGTCTAATGTTTGCAATAGTAGATGTAGGTATTCTTTGTAACTAATTTCCCGCATAGATAGTGTACTTGCGCCATGACAATCATGTACCCGACGACGGACCTCCTCCGCAGTCCGCACCTCTGTCCTATTTTGTGTCTCTGCGCGGTGCATTTTTTTTTATGTGATAGGAGGCAAACGAGCAGACGCATCACCTGATGGTAAGTGATTACCGTCGCCCATAGACACCCGCAGACCCAGGGGCGTTACAGGTGCGTTGCCGGCCTTTAAGATAAAGATACGCTCTCCTCTTGAAAGCTTGCAGGTCGTATCCGTCCGGAAACACCGCAGATGACAGTCCATTCCACAGTTTGGTTGTACGGGGCAGGAATTAAGTTTCTAGAGAAACGTACTGTTGTGGACTGCCAACCATCTAAGTGATGGGGGTGGAAGTGCTGTCGGGTAGATCGGTGGCGAAAAGTGGCGGCAGGAATAAGTCCGGATAATTCTTCGGAGCACTCCCCGTGATACATGCGATAGAAGATGCACAGTGAGGATACATCTCTACGCAGCGCCAAGGGGTCAAGCCGATCTGAAATGTCCTGGCAGTCAACGATTCGAGCTGCTCTCCGTTCAATGCGGTCCAGAGGGAGAAGCTGGTACTGGGGCGCACCTGCCCAAAGATGAGAACAGTATTCCATATGAGGCCGAACCTGCGCCTTGTAAAGTTGCAGACGATGGGCTGGAGTGAAATACCGTCTCGATCTATTGAGCACACCAAGCTTCTTCGAGGCTAATTTAGCCTTACC